GACTTTGTCCTGCTGAATTTGTATGGGTGGAATGGCCTACCGGTTGTCCATTCCTCTAAGACCAGATTAGACTATTTTCTAACTATTAGTTAGAACAACTTTTCTAGATTATTTTCTAACTATTAGTCTATTTTTTAAATAGACTTGAATTTAGACTGAAAAATAGTCTATTTTGAAACATAACCTTGAGGTTGTTCTTTGGAATAACATCAGGACATACAAATTATATACCAAAATTTGTGGTGTTAAATTTGAAAGAAAAAACTTGCATGTTACTTATAGGCCATGTACGGCTACTGAGGCCATGTTACTTAGGCCATGTGCATGTTCTGAGATGTGTTGGGGAATTGCATTTGCATCGGACAACCTCTTGTATTTTCTTGTCTTAGCCAAGTCCCTCTTTGCTGCTACTGTTGCATCGTCTTTACCACCTTCACCAGCATCATCTGATTCTGGCTCATCATCTTTATGGTCTTCTTTCAGCTTCCACTTCTGCACTTTGTCTGAAAAGCTTTGCTTTTCAGGCTTGACCTGCTTTGGGCTTACTCTTGGCTTTTGCCTTGTGATGTGAGCTTGAAAGAAAAAAACTTGCATTTTACTTAGGCCATGTTACTTAGGCTCTGCTCAATGTTACTTAGGCCTTGCGTGTCACACGCATTGCTCAAGTTTGTGTTTTTCCAAAGTGTGGCCACAAACATCTAAGATGAATTAACAAAATGTCTTTACAAGATCTCATGTTTTTTTGCAACATAACCTTGACACTCCAAGGTTATTTAGCAAAATAGACTTGAGTCTATTTAACAAATAATAGACTTTAAATTACCCCCTAGTTTATACAATTATTTGTTTTGAATTCTAACTATTAGTTGGAATTTTTAAAATAGACTATTAGTTAGAAAATAGTCTAATCTGGTCTTAGAGGTTGGTTCATTCAGAACTTGAAGCAGGGGGCCGGGGCCTAGCCATTCAGGAACCCATAGGTTGGGATAAAATGAAAACAATTGGACGGCCAGCATTGCTGAATGTCTGGCATTGACTTGCACAGGGTCCGGTCCTTCAAACTGGAAGGTCGATGCACCAAACCTTCAACTTCCTTCTCAAAAGCAGCCCGCGCTGAATGAGCGGTTGGGGTCATTCTTGGGAACATTACGCCTGGCAAAGGTGGCTTTAACCTTGGAAGCCCCAGAGAGGTTGTTCTTTTGGAAGCGCTCTGCACATTCTTAGTTTGCTTCGTTGTTTTTGCCTTCTCTCCCTCCTGGTCCGTTGTGTGCGCTTTCCTTTTTCTCTTCCCAAACGACGGCTCCTTTGTATTTTTCTCCGGGGACGCCTTGGGAGATGCCTTCTTTGAAGTCGGCTGCTTCCTGCGACCTGGCCGACCCTTGTCGCGACCTTTTTGCTGCGCATGAACCTCCATGGGCACATCCTGCTGCTGCGTGGTTGGAACTGGTGCAGTAGGTTCTGTGTGTTCTGCAGGTCCGGCATTCTTTTGCGCTTTACTACGGTACCAGCCTGTCGACGCAGCTGGCCTTTTCATTTTGTTTTTTGCTTTTCCCTTTGGTGTAGGTTTAGGTTTAGGACCACTCTCACCCTCTTCCTCAGCCCCTGTGGCATCTGTGCCAAGAAAAGTGGCAGCCACCTTGAGCTGCTTGCTCCTGTCGACCTCCACCTGCAAAGGCGACCGAACAGAGCTAGATGGGAAGGCTAAGACGAAACAGACGCACTGCAGCTTTCGGTTGGTTGGAATTAGCCTCAGCATCCATCCATCACCTGTTCAGCCTCTTGGGTTTCATCTTGGCCATCAGCACCACCATCACCATCATCATCGTTGCAAATAGCCTGTGCCGATTCACTGGAGCGGGCCCGAGCAGTGAAGTGCACTCCAAGGATGCTAAGGAGTCTCCGAATGCAAGTATCCCTGGCTGCTTGCCATCCCAGACAGTTCTAATACTTGTTTATATCATCATTGAACTAGCAGCTAGCTGCAGGTAAGATTCACGCTTTCTGGACCCATCGTGCGTGCGAAGCAGTCTTGTGACAAAAGCGTTGATTGCATGTGCCTCGCAATGATTCAGCCCGGGGGGCTGCTGCAGGTTGGTCATGCTCTTGAACGCAACAACCTTCATGTTTTTAAGCCTTGTGGTTCCTTGTGGTTTGTTAGTTCGTTGTGCATTGAAAACATGTCTTTGCGCAAGCCAGGTAGCTACTTTGCAGCCCCATGCCTCCTGCTTCAAGAACCCCACTGGAACAGTCTTGCGATCTGGGGCCACAGGACACCATACCTCAAGAACTTGATGGATGCGTGGGTGACAACCCGTTTTTTGGGGGTCTGGCCACCTCAGCAAGGCTTGGTTGGTCAGGGCATACTGCCGGATCAGAGCTGGATCTTCCAATTTCCTGGCAAGCAACTTCCGCTTCTTCCCTCAAGAGGATTTCCTCCCGCAACTTCTGCTTCCGCCATGGGTGCACCGCACTCGAAGGAAGAGCTGTGTTGATTCAAAATCTTTGCAAAAAATCAACTGATTGACGCTTATTGGAAGTGCTCAACGGAAGCCTCTCTTGGTGACTCACTTCAATCGACCGTGGACATACAGCATGTTTGAACTCTTGCAACTTTGACCCTTGGTAGTAGGATGGAGCGCTTGAAGATCGATGGAGTCTTCGCCAAAGCCACCACCAAAGCAGACCTGAAGTCGAAAGGGCATCCGGTCATCTAAAAGAGATGCAAAAACACTTCACCTATTCACACCTCGCCTTGATACCACAAGTTGGTTTGGAAGCTTGCTTCGTGTCGAACAGTCTAACATGCAGCCAGCACGGAAGCATCCGACCATCCAAAAAAGACGATGAAGCGATACATCTCGCTCTCCCCACCTCACCTTCAAGCGAGGGGTCGGTTTGCAAGCTGCGCCGCCAGGAGAAGGCCTGAGCGACGCTTCTTTCATGTCTCACATGCGAAGGAATAAGCAGAGACTTGGTTTCCATGAAAGAGTCTTTACGTAGAATGACCTGGCCTTGAAAAAGGAGTCAGCAGATCCAGGTAGGCCATGGCCTGCGTGGTGGCATCCAATGCTGATTGACTAAAAACCAATCCCTTTGACTCTGAATGGCACTCAGCGTCCTCAAGGCTTCTCCACGTCATGCGGGCAGCGTCGAGCTTTCCGTCAGCTCTCGGCGCTAGCGGCCTTTCTCACCTCAACGGACTCAGTTCGGCCAGAAAAACGGGTTCAGTGCACCGGAATCCGACGTGCTTTTGAAGGTTTATTATAAACCATGTGGTGAGCTATAGGGGCCTAGGGGCTCATGGTCTTCAATGGTCTTCCCACCTTTTGGATGAACTTGGAGAGAGCTCCAATGCGGCCCCCACCTCCCTTGTAGTTTGCAAGAATGGCTTCTGCCCGTTCCACCGACAAGACATCCTAAGAGGTCCAGTAGATGGTGGCTGGCGAGATGATGTTCAATCAAGGTTGCAAACAACAGGTCGATGCATACATCACGCCAGTGAACTACCGAGATTCCTCTGGAGGTTCTGTAGGCCACAAGGTCTTCTGGAGCTGGAAGAACCACTGAGGGTTCATTTGGCCAAGGCCTCACAGTCCAAATGTGTGTATGCATGTGCAGTGCACGCGTGTTCACCCAAGCAAGTTTGAGACAAAATCGATTGCCTTCTGCCACCAATACTTCTTTTATCTTCTTTTGCCCCTGTGGCAAACTCCATGGCTGGAAGCGCTAGCTGCAAAGACTTTAGCGTGAACTCTTCCAACTCAAAAGAAAAGACTGTGGTATGCAAAAACGTGCTTGCATTCGAACACAATGCAGGGCGCAAAGGGGGTGGGCACCTCTCAGAACCGTTCCCTTCTTGAACCACAGAATCAAGAAAGAGCGGTCGGTCTGTCAATCCTGACTATGTCCAAACATCCATGTTGAGCAAACACGCCGCAATTCTTGAAACTCGCTGCAACCCTAAAATAGTTGCGGCATTTCTTGAAAACCTGGTTTTTCCTGAGTGACACGGAAATTTCGATGCCAGTGGAGTCTGTATAGGTGTATATATATATATTTATGTGTTTGTTTAAAGATATTTAAACTCAAGCAATACCTAAGTCTACTTCGGGGGGTTTACTAATCCGTTTTAGGAGCTGTGGCAAAACTATATTTTAGGGTAGGTTACTAATCAGAGGTCAACATTATATAGCGTAGACCAGGTAGAAAACTGGGACGGAGGTTGTCTGTCCTGGTCAAGCCCCTGGCTTCGACAGAAGATTCTGAACTTGATAGTGGTAGAACAGTGAACATCGGCCAAATGGTTGATCTGGATCCCCAACCAGACGTCCAAACTTTTGAATCATCAACAGTGGTCATAAATAAGGGTCAAGTGAACCATGTTGACATGTTGAACAACCTTTCTTCCACTTTTGGTGCGCCATTCCAAGCTGATGAAGTTATCAGGTACAACTTCAATTCTGGTGTCACCTACGTGCCATCGACCACGGTGACCACGACGGAGCTGACCACCACCACGGAGCTGGCCACCACCACGGCGGTGCCCAGCTGCGCCATGCTGACCTGTCCTAGTGGATTTGCGCCCTAGCTGTCAAGGCAGTGCACGACAGTGCGGTGCATTTCAATCCAAAGATGAACCTGCAAGTTATCGCAAGTTCCATCTGACAGGAAAAAACGCCTATGATATGGGGTTCATTCACCGAGCCGGAGGTAGGGGCTAATTAAAACAATCACTTTCAAGTCATGTAAAGCCTGTATAACTCGTCCAGGCTAGAATTCCAGCCCAAATCCATTCAGGCAGTATTTCTGCCCGAACATGTTTTCACGCCCAACCCTGGATTTCTCGCCCGAATGTGTTTTGTTCATTATCGATAATTCTGCGAGTGATGAATAGATATTACAATGCAACTTGCAAGTAATAAACGGCAGATTTGCAGGTTAGGTGCTTTGCAAGTAATTTGCAACATTTGCCTGAATAACGATTTCTGCCCGCAGGCAGTTTTTAAGGACAAACCCTGGTTCAGGCAGATCTTCTTGAGGCAGACATTTGAGCCTGAATGAGGGTCCAGGAATGGGGGAGTTGTGCGATTTTGTTCAATCAAACATGCCAATGGACAATCTCAGAAGCAAGTGGTTTTCACATAGCGCAAACATGTGCAAACTCGTTCCGTCGCAGACGCTCATGCGGTCGCAGACCAGGTGCTGAAGGCCAATATGTGGGAGATCGAAAGCCAAAATGAGACGGTCTGTGGCTCGGAGAAAGAACACCTGGAACAGTTCGCATCTCCATGACGCCTGTCGAGACGGTTTGAGCGATGTTTTTGTGGAGATGCGGATATGTGCGAATGTTGCAGGTCACAGAGCCCGGTGTTATCAACAAGCTCAATCAAGCAAAGCTGTTCAAACGCCGTCGTTACAGTATTTGTGTTTTGCTTTCTTTGAACCACATGCCTAGCATGCCCAGCAGGGCTGTAGACTGTTGGGAGTCCGCCACTGGCTGAAGACCCCTCCCCTCAGCCGGGCCCCAGCTCGCTCCACCCCAGTCAAGCGAGTCAGGACATCATCACCAGTCAGCAGGTGAAAGATGTGTGTTTTGTTTTTTTTCTGCAAGCCAAATGCCTGAAGTTCACCCAGTGGGGACGGGGACCCGTTGACTCTACCAGAGGTGAGAGAGGTCCCGACTCTCCAGGTTGCCAGCCCGCAGCGGAAGACATGGCTGACCTCGGAGTTCGCAGCGCCGGCTTCGCCGATGGGAACGAGGCTGTTGGGCGCAAGCGAGAATGTCTCAAGGAGAGTAGGGTTGAGGGGGCTTGGAACTCATACAGTAGATTCCAACGCGAACCACAACAGATGTCCTGGACACTCCTGGACATATTTCATAAGATATTTTAGGACATGTTCTTGGAGGTGATTGACCCTTTTTCTTTTGGGGGGATTCATGTAGGGGGTTACCACATGAGAACATGAATTCATAAAGAAAACACAAGTGTTCAAGGGTACAATATCGACACTTGCGGCGATTGGTTGTGCCCTCTTGAAAAAAGATCGGCTTGCCACACAATTACCTTGGAGTATTCTGGTACATGAATTGAATACAGATCTCTTGGTTGAGGCAGTCTTCTTTGCGAATGGCGTGGAATTCTACCACGCTCCAGCGCGTGGCTTGACACTGGTCCTGGTACGGCCAGATGGCACACGGAAGGACTCCCAGACCTTCGACACCATGCGGCTCGGCGAAGAAGGCAGCGGATATTCGAAGATGGGTTAGAGAAGTGATTAGAGTTAGAGAATCTTTCTAGGACATGGCTGGTTTTTTGAGGTGGATGTTCCCGTAACTGCGTAAATACCCACAGGGGAATATGTGATTCGTTTATTTTGTGCATCTGATTTTCCAGGTTTATTAAACAAATTCAAGTGCTTGGACCGCCTTGGTGACCCAGTTCACAACAGATGAATTGCTACCATGTGCTACCAGGCAATGCGAGTAACAGGCTCTTCCCCTCACCAGTTACTTAAATATTATCCAGGTTCCACCCTCCAGCGGTCTTCCTCGCGGCGCACCCTTGGGTGAAGCGAGCTCACACACGAGAAAACGCGACGCTGTTCTCGCGCGCGGTGCCACGTTTTTGGGGTGAACAACCGTCGGCACTCCTGCGGGTGTGCGCGGCGGCTTTGTTTCGCGGCGCACCGCGTGCCGGCGGATGAGGTTGAATGACAATTCCTCAGAGAATCTGGTGGCCTTCATTGATAGCATCCCCGATGGAACCATCGCTCCTTAGCTTCAGATTTGGCTAAAATCGAAGCGTCCGATGCAATGAGATATGGACCAAAAGGGCAGAGAGAGAGAATTGGACGTTGGAACCGCGGAAGACCTCCTGAAAGAAGGAAAAATACAAACACCCCTTTGGGGCGGATCTCCCTATTAAGATCAGAAAAGAAAAAGGACCTTGAAGGTTGAAAGAGGACTAGCCGCCAGCTTGAGCCTCCAAACCCTCGCAGGTCTTTGGTTGATCTCCCATTTGCATGGAGAAATCGGTGGACGATCTCCTCCCATCAGCTGACGATTCTGAGACACCTGGGTGCAGACCTGGGTGCCCCCGCCACACACCCCGTGGCCGTTTCTCCTGAGGTCCTGGTGGGCGCACGGGACGAGGCCTCCATCCACCTGTCCTTGGCGGCCAAGGAGGCGATCAAGAGCTTGGGAGCGACCATGACGCGCGGAACGCAATGGAGCTGCCAGTCGTACCCGTTTGGGCTCCAGTCATACCGTCTCGTTTCGGTAAAGGTGGGTGGGACCCGGCCCAGGGTGCCACGGTCGGGTCCAGTCATACCGGAGACCGGGGGCCCTCCATAGACCCAAAACTCAACGACCCCTTGGGTTTGGTGAAGGAACATAGACCCATGTACCCCAGCCAGGCCCAGGTACCTCATCATAGTTTCGTGGAGTGAAAACCACCTGTTTGGTATGTGGAAAATATGGTCATCCATTTGGGGACCATGTTCATCCATTTTCTCATCCACGTAGCCATGATTCTATAGGGAGTGTAAGTCAAGTCCAAGTTCAGAAGCTCCCTTAGTCTCTTGGAACCGAGGAACCGACCCAGAAAAGTGGAGGAAGTCAGTGGAGGAATACATGGATTCATATGGATTCGGCCCTTTTTGCCACCAAAACCTATCTTCGCAGCTTTTGGAAGGGATCAACACCTCTCAGCAGCGGGGTCGTTTAGCAACACATGTGCCTCAATGAAGAACCAGACGTCTCTGTGGCATCGTGGCATCATGTCGTTCCCAGAAAAAAACATCTACACATGGATCACATGGTGAACATGTCTCCGTGGTTCCGTGGTTTGTTCCTGGTGAAACGTTTGCCATGTCGAAAGAAGCAACTTCGAACACATCCCACCGGATGCTCTGAGCATCGCGACCCCCAAAAAACTGTCTCTCAAAGACTCAACGCGCCGATCCAGTCTTTGGTCAATGGGAAGAAAGGCAACATCTTTGGCCAATCGAGTCTGTTGGTGCATTGATGGCCAGCTTCCTTCAACTCACTTGGAAGAGAGTGTCGTTAGTGGTGCAAGAAAACGTTGGTGTCGCCTTTTCGATGGGCCGTCGATAACACGTGTTTCATTTGGGTGTTTTCTGGGCCCCAAACACTTGGTTCATCCTTTTTCTATGCAAGTTGAAGGGTTTGAGGCTGCTGAAACTCGGACCCAAACAGAAAGACCGACCTGCTTGACCTGCCGCTGTTTCACCGACCATCCACTGATGAACCTGGATGGACCTATTTATGGATGACCCAACCATTCAGAAGTAACTCGGACCCAGGATTCTATGGGATTCTATGGGATTCTTGGGGTTCTCATGGCGGGCCAACCAGGCTCGACCTTCGCCGACCAGGATCGACCAGCTCTCCTTCCGGGCGAGCTACGCCCTCGTGGGCGTGAAGAACGGCGCCAAGCTCTCCGAGTCGCTACGGAAGACCACGGAGGGCTATGCCGTGGCGGTGGGGCAGATGAAGGTCGTGATCTCGGTCGATGCCAACAAACCGCTTTGCGCCACTGGGCGGCCCAGGCTTGCTGGTTTTGGGATGGTTTTAGTTATGGTTTTGTACTGTAATATTTTCGGCTGCGTGGAGTCGTTGTTGTGTCTGAAAACATAATATAAAGTCTATTTCTGTTGTTTTGTGCGGTTGTGTGCTTTATTTGTGTTGATGGGAGAATGTTTGCTTCACAAGTTGCTTCTTTTTGTGTGGTTTTCTTCTTGCCCACTCCACCCCCTGATAGAATCCCAAAAATAAGCCAGACTATGCTTGGCCCTTGTCCCACAAAGAGCACTCGCAATTGGTGCTTGTTGATGTAGCTAAGACAATGAACTTCTTTAGACGACTTCGTTTGTGATTTCTTCCTGACCTGGGCAGGACCTAGGACTTGTGGCTGTGAGGTAAAGCCGGGAAAGCCTTGGACGTTGTGACATTTAACTAATGAAGCCTTGATCCTTTTTAGATTGGATGGCCGATCTTCTTCGTTGGGTAATACACAGCAGGTTGTCCTGTTCCTGAACTTCCCTTTGTGAACATTGTGCAGCGCATGCTTCTCCATAAAAGATGCTTTTCACTGGACAGACCTGGGGACGCAAGCGCATGAACTTACGACCGACTAGCCATGTTCAAAGGCCACCTGACCCGGTACAGTAACCAAAAAGGATATTGATACCTTAGGCATAGTTGATGAAGGACAGATGACTGCATTCTTGCTGACACCAGTGGCCCAGTGGCCCTGTCTGAGAACCAAGGACACCAGCGCACCAACTCCCGCGGTGTCGGGCTATGTGTCACAAGGAAATCTCAATCTAGACGCTGGTTGCCGCTACAACCTCTTCGAGGCCTCTCATGCCACTCAATGCATGCAAGGAAGCTGGATCATGATGACCGGCTCATCCAATACTCTGCTGGAGTCCCTTGGTTTTGGATTTGATCCGGTCGGACTTCTCATGCTCTCCGAGTCATTGAAATTGTAGAGAAATTGTCTGCCAGGGGCCTATTTTCCACTTCCATGATTCTTTTTGGGAGTTCAATTGGATCGTTTTTGCCTTGGTTGCAAGATTAGCTTTCGACTTGCCCGCAACTGCAACAGAAACAGAAGCGGTCTAAACTTGTTCAGTCTTATCAAGCACCAAGAAGCCTTGTAGCTGCCTTCCTGGAAGCTTTGATATTTTTCTTTCTTGAAAGGCAGCATCATTAGGCAAAGAAACTGTGCAAAAATGATCAAACAGCCATGACATGCCATGACCATCATAGTTATCCACTCCGTTTCTTTCATCTTCCAATATCTTTCCCTTTCTTTCAAAAGGCACCACCTCCAACCACCTCACCTTCGCCGCTTTGCCCAAAACGCTTCGAGGTTCGGCAACTTGATCAACTTCTTGGCCCCAGACGAGCCACCCAGCTGAGCTCCAGTTTTTGTTCGTGTCCTCCGGTTTGGGGGTGGGTCCAACGTTATAGATGTTCAGAGAAATCTGCAGTTACAGCTTCTAAATCAGCTTCATGTGCGCTTCTTTTTGAGGGGGACCAGTGTATCACGGTGTCCTTTTCTTTCCGCCTGCAGCGGCCATTTCTTTCGGCGAGTACCCCAGGCAGTAGCGGATCCAGGCAAGCCACCTAAGGTCGAAAAGTCCAATGGGAATGAAACAGAATCAAGTGCACCTGACCCCTAATCAACTGCACCTGACCCCAGATCAAGTGCAGATCCGGCAGACTCTCCCGCTGTCACGATCCCATGGAAGGGACCGGTGCCAAGCAACGACCATTTTTCCGAAGACCAACCCGACCGTGGTGCAGTGGGTGTTCCGTCCGAATTGCAGGGGAAGTAAGTTTTTCCCACACCCTGAAGAGTTAGTGGTACGGATCGATTTTTCTCCCAGAACCGCTGAAGGTGCTTTTTGATGTTTACGTTTCATATTGTTCTGCTATTTCTGCAATGTTTGCCCTTTAACTTCCTTGCTTAACTCTTCAGAGGTTTGATTCATGGAACTCTGTCCTGAAATGCTGTGTCAAACACCCGGCCATATTGAAACTCATGGATTTCGTCGCTCCAAACAATTTTGCAAAGGGTCGTACAATACAAGAATTGTTTAGGGAGGGATTAATAAGTAAATTTGGAGCCCCAGGACAGATATCCAAGCTACTGGGACTACTGTAATATACTACTGCTGCTACTGCTACCACCACCACCAACCACCACCAACCACCACCACCACTACTACTACTGCTTCTACTACTACTACTACTACTGCTACTACTACAACAACAACTACTAATACCACTACTACCACTGCGACTACTACTACTACCACCACTACCACCACATCTAGCACCACTACTACCACCACCACCGCCACTACTACTGCTACTACTCCTCAATCCCAAAGGCGTTTGGTGGGCATGACTCTATTCGGTCTCCCTTGATTGTTTGCTAGGGGGCGGTTTGGCTGATTAGGATCCAACACTAGTAGGTAACCAGTGGTGTCAAATACTTAAAGCATCGACCTATAAACACTGGTTCTTTCATGTTCTTTATTAGGGCTCCACTTCAGGGGCTCGGTGGGGAGGGGCTTAGTTCTGAAAGGTTCTTGGAACCCCCCTTGGGTTCTTAGAGGTTCTTAGTGAAAAAGGGGTTCTTAGAACTGGTTCTGGGCTAAGAGCTTTTCAATTATGAATGGTTGAACTTTTCGATGAGGATTCACACTTAGATAATTGGTTTGGACATATAATCACAAACCCAAATGCATAGCATAGATGCTTACATGTAATATATGAATTTTGAAAATGATTACAATTTTCAATAAAACTGCTTCTGGATAGCTGTTATATAGCTTGTTATATACTATTAACACTGGGAAATGAAAGCAATTGCTATATGAGTGGTTTACAGGTCTTTTTTTGGGGGGTGGTTCTTGGAACCTGAGCTGGGTTCTAAGTGGTTCTTGGGGGCCCCTGGACTACGCCCTGGTTGAGGACTACGCCCCTAAAGTGGAGCCTGATTTATATTGTGGTAACTGGGATCCACATGGTCCTCAGGTATGCCATTGACCGTGCTGGAGAGATGATTGGTGCTTCCGCCGTGGCAGATGTGGTCATCGAAGAGGGAAAGGTCACTCATTGGGCCACTGTGAGTTGCTCGGACGGAGAGGGCCACACGCAGTCGTCACACCATCCATGGGGCCGAACTTGCATAGTAACTCTGTCCTTTGACTCCGAGGTCCAACCACCCCAAGCTATAAGTATGAATCGGCCAGTCTGAGTTCCGCAGCTGTTTCGCCAAGTGAAGCTTTTAAAAGATGGGCTACACTCTTTTTACTCGACGTGGATGGGCTGGCATCCCCGATGTCGAATGGACATGAAATCTGAAGACCAAATAGGTGGTTTTTACATGTTTTTACTCCACTTCCATGATTATTTCAGGGTGTAACTCAGTTTGTAATTATTGGGATGGAGAAGGCGTACTACGCCGGTTTGGGTTTAGGGTTCCTGGTTACGTTGCCGTGGACCTGAAATCGTTTCTGACTAGAATGACTGCCTATTGCAGTCATATTGGTTGTGGGTCTTGCTACACTTCTAAACTCTAAACTTTCAATATCCCTGGGAAGAAGGACCAGTGAAAGACCATGCTTCGAAAAAAGAGTCCGTGAAGGATCACTGAATCATAGCCAGATGTTCAGCCGAGACATAAAGCCACGTCATATTGGAACAATCCCTTGTGAATGAGCAAAATACATCGGACACACATGCCCTCGGATTCCGGCAACCATTGATTAATAAAGGTACTTTACCAAACAACCATTGTTTTACTATATGTTTTACTAATTGATCTTTTGATTACAAAACCAGGTCAACCCTGTTTTTAATGGCCGAAAGGAAGGGGTGATTCCCCGGTGCAAAACACCCCGCTTTCGCAACCGTTTTGGATTCCCCGTAGCATTTCAACGGCCCTCGAAATCGCTTGTGGGAGTTCAACACAAACCATCATAAACCGAGTTCGACACAGGTTGAGATCTATAATCCATGCCACCTGGTTAGCTGGGGGATGTTGAAACTTGAGTCCTACACAAAACCCAGATCACTTGGGGCGAACCCACATGCGTCATTTGGCCGAGCAGAGTGTCTTAGGCAATCAGCTACCAGAGTGTCGGCAAGTGGACGCTAGCCTCGCACAGCAGAACCGCCCTGCTTGCAAGCAAGCGATCGAGGCCTTGTTCGCTCAGGCTGGCTTCGAAGTGTTTGTTCAGGGTGCTCGCACAGGACACAGCCAAAACTCCCTATCGCACACGGAGACACACTGAGAACAGAAAGCAGTTCTTCAGTGAGTGTAGATCTGTTCCGCAGGCCCCAGCCTACAGCAGCAGTGGAGTCCGCATCACGATGTTCATCAGCTTCTTCTGGTATCGCACAGCCGCTGAGTGGCAATGCTTCTAAAGCTGGGGGTATATCCGGTTAAGTCTGCATGGAAGTACGTGGTTCATTGCCTTTTTAAAGGTCTACGATGGACCAAATCTAAAGAAGTATTCCTGGACCCGACTTCAAGTACCCTACAGAAAATGTGATATGACCCTGTGACCCTGTAAAATGAGTTGCAAATGTACGATGTTGCACCTCTTTTTCGGGGTACTTGAACGGGTCGACTCCCAAAAACGTCCAGTAGCCTATAGTAGCCTAAAGGTAAAGAGGCTCTTCCAGTTCTTCCGGATACATGTTGTTCTGTGAAGACTGCAACAAGCTCAACAAGCTGCACAGCCCAGTAGCACTTCGTTCCTTACGCGTTGCTAACGCAGGTTAGAGGGATGGGCCTGGTCCTTGGTCGGGCTGAGGCCTAAGACCTTTGAAATTTTCCCCAATCACAAAGGTCTTGTGGATCCGGGTGCCGATCTGTGCCAGCCAGTCACATGGAGAACCGGTGCCGGTTCCGGTTCCGGAGAATATATCGGGTGCCCCGACTTCACATCCACGGCGCCTGGATGGGACGAACCAAGCCATCCAACTCCATATGTGACTCCTAGAGTATTTGGACCATGTCTATCTCACGTTTGCCACTTCTTGATACGCCTTTTTGTGGCACCGTGATGTACACGAACCGGCGAACACATCACATGGAAGTGGATGGCGCACCCTGTTTGTAAAGGAAATAGTCTTCCAAGGGACCACTTTCCACTTCCATGTTAGTGAGTCAGAGTGTAGGCGTTGAGTGTTCAGAGGCGCACGCAGCACTATAGTAGGTTCCATCTTGGCTGCGAGAGTGCGGACCCATAATGAGACAAGACTACGCCAGGATGCGCTGGTGTTGGCAAATATATCAACCAGCAGTTGTACTGGGATTGTAGACCCAAAGGAGTCGGCTGAAGCATATATAGACTTTCCTGGAAAACCCAAGTACCAATATCAGAGTCCCAGTCACTCAATCTAATCGCATAAGGTTATTTAATGTTATTTAGGCAAAACACCTTGTGTTCTCCACTTGGAATTGGCATGTGCTTGCATCAAAAGCCAGATCCAACCACCCTTCAATGGGTGGTCTGTCTCAATGCTCAGTCCTAAGCTGGAAGCTTCCGATGCCTTGACTGAAGAGTCCTTGAAGCGTATAGAATCTGATAATCTGATCAACTCCCCGGCAGCACCACCCAGGTCGGGTGGTTTATAGACCCGCTTGATGATCTATGATCCATGAATAACCCCGCCGCTTTGGGTGGTGGTTCTTTATAATCCAACTGGGCGTACATGACCTGCTTGGCCGGCCAACGACAGGAGTTGGCTTTAGAGCTCATTGCGGAGGATGCCCTTTGGAGTGCTGCCCGAGTGGGCGTGGTCACGCAGGTGGGCGCCTGGTACAACGTGTGCAGCGTCACCAAAGAGGAGCGCATCCATGTAGGTATATATTCCATACATGGAGTGTTTGGGTATAGGCTATGGTTATTTTTCCATGTCCAGGAGATGTCCGGTTTCGGATTGGATGGTTGGTGTGCCGTAGAGATGTACGGTGAAAAAAAGCACGGCAGTGCGGAAGTGGATTGGTTGCGCCGGCTGCTTTTGGTATGTCCAGTGTGTCCGGTGGGTCACCGGTGAGCAACATTGCAGTCAAAATACAGAAATCACATGAAATACCTCAGTCACCGGGCAGTTCTTCTGAGAAATTAGGGAGATGGGAGGGGGAGGGGGGGTCTCTTCCCTCCATTTTCCAGGAGTACTGTCCTCGAAAAGAGCTGCTGGACATGGACCGAGATCCAGCGATCCAAGTCTTCAAGGTCCGCGCCTCGTCTCGCGCCTCGTGTCTCGCGCGTGGAGACGGGCGCGCGTCTCCAAGATCTGCGCAGACTTGGAGTCGACTTAGAGCAGAGTGGAAAGAATTGCTCCAGGGCATACAGATCATACAGCAAGTGACCGAAAATGGGATCTCAACTGCGGTCGGTGTGGTGGCCCAGAGTGGGTCGGTGTAGTGGCCAAGCAGCGGGAAGATGCGGCAGGGTGCCCAGAGAAACTTCACAGGGCCGGCGGAACAAAAGTGCTCATCCGCAACCACTAAGATCCTTGAGCCAAATACAGTAGTATAGCTGGGAGCTTGACTTAACCAACGAAACACCCTATCTGGACCAACCCTTGTTCTGACCAGACAGATCATTTCCTTGAAGAACAATCATTTCACCATGCCTTTGGCGGAAACATATGTATAATAACTTTACTCATTACTCGATTGGTCAGAGACGTCTTCTCTCGCCAGGATGAGATGGAGGTGGTCCTAGCGCAGATGGACTCTTTTTGCACCACCGGCCGTGCCAGTCAATTGGGCTGCTACGTCCAAACCATCTCCTGGACCAATGGTGTCCGCGACAACGAGAACTTCCAGGTCATGAATGGCTACATCGAAGAGGCCGCGGTGCTCACGCAGCGGTCTTCATCCACGGCTATACAAGCTTTAGCAGAGCTTGTCATGTTTTCTTGGCGAATTTTATGCAGTTCATATCGCCTCAGGGGTACATTAATATTACGCCCCTGAAATCATCCATGGTTTCGTGGATGGGACAATAGCGATGTCGGAGGACCATGTTCAATCCGAAGACCGTCCATGTGTTCCGAGTGTCGAATCGTGGAACTGGGGACTTTCAACCTCATCCCAACAAGACATCAACCGCATGTGGCGATCGCTGGTCACCTGAACCCGAAAAAACAACCCACCACCGCCGGGTCACGCGGGACGCGGGTCACGCCGACTCGGCAGGCCATGGCTGGACGACTCAGCAGTTCCTTCCGACTCGTGGACTTCTTCAAGCTGGGTCTCACAGCAGCAGTCAGTGCTCGCCGCGCAGCGCAGTGAACGATGGACTGACCTGACTCTCGAGGTTTAGACGAGATGACGTCTAAAAGGGACGTCCTGAAGATGTGGTCAATTTGTTGGGTGTGACTTTCATGATTTTAGATGTACAACATTGTACAACACTGAAATCTTGCCGCTGATTTGTGTTAAAAGACATTTGCTCTTGAAAACATGGAGGGTTTGCGACTGGGCCCTGTCTCCTCTATACATTACCAATACTAGTTGCGACCAGTTTTTGAGGGGGTCTGTAGTGCGGGTGTTTGTGTGGTCTTCGGATTGGGCTAAGCGGCGTTGTTGGCCGGCAAAGAATACATAATCATACTACTACCGTAGTAGTACCCTTTACACACCCTTTACACACGTAGTAGTCTACTCCGCCGTAGTAGTCTATACTACGTAGGAAGTGAAGTCTGTCTTGCGACATGCAACCTCTTTTTGCCGAAAAAGAGAGGCATGATATGCCGTCTCAGACCTTTTGGGAAGACATTGGCTTTATACAACGGCCTCAAAACGGCATGTTCGTTCCACCATGTTCCACCGGTGTTCGGTTTTACCTCGATCACTTCCTTTCACCTTTTGAGGTGGAGCCATGCCGGAGGAGGTGGTGCAAGGCCACGGCTCTCAGATGTTGAACCTCTGGGTGCCTCAGCGTGAGCGTAAACCCCCGGGCACAGATGCGGACCATGGTGGGCGAATGGTGAAGTGGTCCGCACGCTCTCTTTTTTTGGCGTGCGGACCATGTCGGCTGGAAGCCACAGTTGTCCTTGCTCTCATGTTACAAGTGAGGGTGGAATAGACCGAACGATAACGAAAAGGATTCTACAATTCGATGTGAGTTTGAGTTACATCCACACACTCCAATAGTGATCGTCCCGAGATTGGAGTCCAGGAGGAACGAACCTATATATACACAGTACACACAGAGTAAGCACTTCAGGGTACATAACCTCACTAGAGGGGACAGGACAGACAGCCAGAATGGACTCACTGAGGGTATGCTTGATTCAATTTGTTTCAGATGTTTGACATGTTCTGAACTTTGCTGAATTTCTATTTACCTCGCAGAAGGTCCTGGAATGTTCCGATGACTTACAGTAGAGATCTGTGAACCAGGACCCTCTCGAGGGAGAAAGCAGAAAACCACATGTTGCGTACCAGGACCATGCGACCTGTTTAAGGGTCACCTAGCTGGACTACCCTCCACTACTATCCGGGATCGAACACGACAGGACACTCAGACAGGATGGTCCAGCGGTCCAGGTCTCCTTTTCCCCGAAGGGACCCACCTGGTGTCAGCGTGGTTCTATCCCGTCGGACCATTCCGATTTGCATCGGACCCTTAAACAACTGGTCTGCAGCGTAGAGGACAACTGTTTCTTTTCGGCTCCTGATGATTTTCAGGTTCCATGTTAACTTATTTTTGTTGAATCAATCCAGTGGTTTCTGGGGGTGAACTTTCTGACTGAATTGAAGACATATTCCATGCTTATTGTTGACGTTCTGTTCATTTTGCGATGTTTCTTCCAAGGTTTGGCAGGTGATGTTCAACGCCATGTGCCCAGCAGAACTTGCGGCCAGTGGAACCTATGCAGTTTGGGAAGGGAACCTTTGCTCAGGGACTGAGGCTGCCAGTCCGGCGTGTCCGGCGTTTCCGAAGATGGATGATGGCAACATATTTGGAAATGCCTGGAGAGGAATGTGGGAAAGCAGACATCGATCAGAAAGCAGCTAAACCCGTCTAGACAAGCTAGAGCTGTGCAAATCGGAAGTGTTTCAGGGTTGCCTCGTGAGTCATTTTCTTCGATCCAAAGATCTAAGTTGGGTAGCAGTTGTTCTTGCTGGTACACCTTCGAAGGATAGCATTGGAAAGCGCATGAAAGTCATGTAGGTGAAGCCATGGCTTTAATTGTATAATCAATAACATGGCTCGTTGGCAGTCAACTGTTGAGCCGTAGCTCAGACGCTTCCATCAGAAGAGGGATGTTTGTTCCATTCAAAAGGCGCAGGCTTCCGGAATCCATCCCGACCATCCGACATGTGCGTAAGTCGAGTCACCATGGACGACTTGCTTGCCCTCACGGCCGAAGTTCGCGAGGCACGCTTTGAGAACTGCCCCAACTACTACCCCAGCTGTTTGAATGGGCCACGCTGTGAGAAATGGGAATGCATGAACAGCGTGCCTTGGACTTGACATGTGATGTGATGACCTGTTTTTGTTTTTCGGAGAGATGAGGTCGGTGGCATCGTCAGTCTTCGTTCGCGCTCACAAAGGTGCCAGAACACCATATACCCCGTCGCCACCTGTCAGAAGTGATCGTGGGACCGACGACCTGCGCCTCACTAGGTGCCTTGCACCTTCCGTGCCACCGATCCACCGATGGCCGGCAACAGCGCAGGCGACGGGCCGAGTCCGGTTGAGACGGGACCGTCCCGGACGGTTGGCTGAGAACATGTGGGAACACTGTGAACGCTATTTTTAGGTACGGAACACCATGACACCCTGAACATTTGTGCATGTGTGTGATAGAGACAAACACATCGTATAGGCTTTGGTTTTACAGTCTTGAAATCGATGCTTCCTTCCATGAAAGCTTCACTTCATAGATTAACGTTACCTCAGAGAAAACACGAGTATTCTGGATTTGGTTTCTTCTGGCCGATTCCGATACCGCCCGAACATCTCGAGGCCTTTGTGATGATGCCATCAACATCTCGTCCTTTTTGGCTGATCAACCTGAAGCGGAGGTGCAAATGCTGGCGGATGGATGCCACAACAGTCGTGGACTTCGGGTTCGCCTTTGGTGTACCCAGGACTTGGACGCCTGCCTTAAGCTAAACGATGGTTTGCCCGTCAAAAGCCTCATGATCACCGTTGTAACTTCTGGCAAATAGGGGCAGGTCCTGGCTGTTGCAGAAGCATCAGGACACTTGGATGGTCAGAACACTTGGATGATCCTATCCTGAGTTTGGTCAGCTACTGAGACCAAAGCGCTGTCTCAACTAGCACCTGGAGGATCCTGGAGGCCTAATCCTCGCTTGGTAGGAACAGTCCACACACGTCCATACCGCTCCCACCACACGCTCCCACCATCCGTGATTGGTTCAATTGATAGTCCCGTATAAACCAGCACTGGCAGGCTTTGCTACCAGCTAAACCTGACTTTGCCTGACCAAAATCATCGTGCGTACGTATATACACTGCCTGGAATCACCATGGGTCAGCGTGGATGGCATGGCCCATCATGGCCCATCATGGATGACCAAGTGGTTTTCACAGACCAGACGATATCTTCACTCCACGAAACCATGATTGACTCGACTGATGAACCAAGAAGTACTCCTCACTTGGGATAGGAAGGATCCTGAAAACAGCTCCGAGGAGTGGATGATGGCACTGGTGACAGTTTTGATGGCCGTAGCTTTGAAGGTCGGCATCTACTTGTGGGAGCCTCGCCCGCCTCGTGACGACGACCTCGTGTTCACTCATGATCCTGCCAGAGGGCCTCAAATCCTGGAAAAATAAAACCGCCTGGGCGTCGTTTTGTTTGAACCAACAAAAAGATGTTTCGTATTGAACCAACAGGCATCCTACACAGTAGTAACTTGGCCGTGTAGAAAACAAACCTGACCTCTTCAAAGTGGTCTTTGGCAGGGTGTTGCTTTTGCGATCTCGATCAACTGCCATTGGGATGCCAAAGAAGAGGAACAACTACATTAAACAAGTGTTATTTTGGAAAGATGTCACCTTAGCTTGCTGGGCAAGGCGTTCCAAAACCGGGTTCATTCCACCAAACCCGCGAACATGCAAACAACCTGTCTCACAGTGACCTTTGCCTCGGGTCGATGGTTTTCAGATCTGACCGTTTGCCTCGTTTGAGATCTGCAGATGTGGGCCATGCCCATCTGAGGAGAAATACCACGTGAAGCCTGAGCAGAAGAGCAAGGCCAGAGACCAGGGGTGCGAGGGAGATCGTGGATTCCAATGCCCCCAATGTGGGCGGGGTCCGGAGCAACCAAGCATGCATTCCATTGTTTGGCTTAAGAACATGCTTCAACAGCTCTCACAAAAGCTATTAAGTCCTCGATCTATGAATTTACTCTCAGCATGCTTTTCATCACTTAGACTTCTGAAACTCCCGGATCCACTCCCCTCTGCCCCTCTGCCTATCGCTGCTGTTCCCGCCATCGCCACCCCTCCAGGCGACCGCTGTACCGGCGCCGGCTGCAGAGCCGGAACGGCGGCAGGTGGCTCTGTTCCGCAGCGAATGTCATGAAGAGGCCACATGTGGCAGTGGGCCTGTAAGCCCTGCCTGTTCGAATGGCCACCAGACTGAAGGGCTACGGGTTTGGGGGTGAAATGGGGCGAAGCGATCGGGTTTGGGGGTCAGCAAAGGGTTGAAGGTGAGGTCAGTGGTGTTAAAACGGCCAGCGAAATCGTCTAAGTGACATTCTCTCTCTTCACCACGACCACGATTTTTCATCATCCAAAGAACATCAAGGTCGAAGCATTTGGTCGGAGGGTTTGATCCATTCGACTCCATTTGTATTTGGGTTTGACCGACCTCTTAAGGGGATCCAAGGGGATCCGTGGATGGTTTGGGTGTTTTTCAGTCTCAAGAGGATCTGATCGAATCCTTGTGGCACCACTGTGGGTGAATGAGAGTCTTCAGTGGCTCCTTGTGACTTCAGGATGGTGTTTCTCAGTCCCAGGGCAACGGTCCCGTCGTGCATTTGACGTCCCGGTTTCTTCTACTGCCTTCGAACCCCGCGGTGTTGGGCACCATCGCCGTCTACGGACGCATACGGCTGCCGCCCCAGAGCCCCGAGGTCATGACCTGGACTTCTCCTTGGAGGTGCATGAGGACTGAGCGTTTAGAGTCTCGAAGCACAGGTTGGACAGGTTGGTTGTTCTTTGTCTAGAGCGGCAGAATCCGGAAGCCGAGGCTACAAAGGGTCAACATGCATCAAACTTGATACAAAAGAGATCGTGCTGTCAAGTCTGCCAAACAATCTGTCGCCTTTGCACAGAATTATTGGGGAACCTGGTGGCAACTTGACAGCGTCGAGCGTCACACAGGTGTGACCTCCAGAGTTGCCTTTGTTCAGTTGCCTGCCGTTTCGTGCATTCGAAAAAAAAAAAAAAAACACACAGCAGGCTAAAATCCTGGTTTTGTGGATCAGGTGATTGGTTTATTTTTCCTATATAGGGTTAAATCCCCTTCTGGGGAATATGTTTTTTTTTCTCGGTTCCTTTGAATCCAAGAAACGGACCCTCAGAATTGACCCGTGGAAACTCGACCATTTTCCTCATGGAACGCCTGGTCACCGTGGTGCAGTGGGGGTTCCACAGAGGTCACAGTGGTCAGGAGGTCCATGAGGTCGGGTCATACGAGGTCAGGTCCTCCTGGTGGCTTCTTCCCCTTTTTGGTAGAAAAGCTGGGTCCATCGCATGAGACATGCAAGTTTGACAAAGCTTAAGCTTTATCATTACTGGACCTCTGAAGACCCTGGACAACCCTCTGTTCACCCATCAAATAGTTGTCATTAGTGATGCAGTATGTGGCTGCATCTTGCACGGGTTTCTATCGCCGGGTGAGATATCCCCATTGTTGTGCTGCTATCTACCGTGGAGGACGAGGGCATGAAGAAGTCCAAGACCCATCAGAGCACCAAGAAACTTGGCATATGTTTGCTTGGACTTGTCCCGCACCTTCAAAAAGAGGTAATTACTGGATATTACTGGTCAATGTCAAGAAACGGAAACGATCAATTCAAGGATACGTTCGACTGAAAGCAGAAGCACAGAGAGGGATGTGGGGGCCACCAGGCACTCCCAAAAAGACACATGAATTCGACTTAGAGGGTCTTAAGGTTGACAAATCAGAAGTAGACTTCCTGGAAACTGGCTTGAACATCGCAGTTTTCCGCCTCAAGAAGGATGGTTTTTCAGGATGCAACAAGTCCATGATCTCAGGGTCCATTAGGAGAGGAGCTTTCTGTTCGTTCAGGATTGGATTCCAAAGCCTCATAGTGCTGCAGTCAGTTGAAGTAGACCTATTTTTGGAGGTTAGGAGCTGCAAGCATGTCCAAGCGCCTCCCCGCAGTTACTTCCAACAACCAAGAGAACATGAGGTGCCGAATCCACTGCAACAAAAACCAAACACTGGCAAGGACCTTGGCGGCCCCAAAAATCATGTTGGACCATTCATCCTGCATGGACGGGCGAATCATGGGAGCTTCGATGGTGACTGACGGTGATGGCGGTGCCCGGACAAGACTCACTGGTTTGGTGCTTTTCGGGTGATGTTTATTGTCCCAAACTGAGTGCATCCACAAACCTGGAAATATGGTTCACTGTTTTCCAGTTGCTTATAAGCAAATCATAGCAAATCCTAAGGATATTTATGCCATCCACTGATCATGGCCATTTCAGCAGTCCGCCCAGCGGTCCACCAAAATGTTCTGCTTCAACTTGTGTGCCACTTCCATCCTTCACAAGTTTCCAGAGCATGAAGGACTTCTTTGACTTTTCGCTTCATGTTGATAGATGTTGAGCGCGAGAAACACCATCCAAACGTCCGCCCTCCACTCCACCGGAAGTCGCGCCTTGCCCCAAGGACTTCCAAGAGCGCCAAGACCGCTGCCTCACGCGCTGCCTCGCGGGCGGCGGAGGAAGACTTTGCAGACGTCTTGGACGAGAGTGCACCGGCCGTTTTGGCGCGGTCGAAGAGCCACTGGGACGGTCAAGACAGACAGGCGTTCGGAGGAAGGGTTGGTTGCATCAAGGCGAACAGAAGCTTTGGTGTGTTGAATGTGTTGTTTGGTTGAGTGCCACAAAAGAGAGGGTCTTCCTCTTCATGCAATCAATGATTTTGGAGCAATCCAAGACTCTTGAAGCCTCATATCAGCTCCTTGTTTGCTGGGTGTGTCCCAAACTCGGCATTTTGCCCAGTAGCTACGTAGCTCGGCTTGTCGAATTGTGAATGGTCGCTCCGCAGCTGACAGCAGATCTTCAACAAACCATCAGCCCCAACCAATACACCAGGACCCTCGAACAGATGACCACCTGCGACTGTTCAATCATGTTCAATCTGCAAAAACCTTCCCTCCCCCCAAAAAGTGACCTGTTAGAAGGCCTTAGGGATCACGGCCACGGCTGGGCCCCTAAGGCCACATCACCTTGAAGTCAGAGGCTCCAAAGTCTGAAGCTGCCGACGCCAAGAGTGTGAAGAGCGCTCGGAGCGGCGTGGGCAATGCACCGCAGCCTTCTGAGGACGATCTCACGAATGCCGCGTGGTATATATGTCGGTGTGTCAGGGTGTGCCTTTGCGGGAGCAGACATAAAAGTTTACACAACACAAGTTGGAACACACATATATATATATATATAACATGAACTGAACATGTTCATGATGTTGTGTTTTGTTTCCCGATGTTAAATTCCATGTAACCCAGGATTACTGTATTGTCCACCTTGGGAGAGCTTTTTCACCTACCAGACCTGATGCTGACGCGACATCAGCTTTGGGGGGCAGAACATGGACAAGTCTTACTGACTTTCGGAGCCGTTTCTACCAGACCATCCTAAATATCGGGGTGTCCGTCCTCTACCCAGTTGCTCTACCTGCTGCATGACCATAAGGCTTTCCATTGGAAAGAAATGGAAAGAACAACACGATGGTTCAGGTGTATGACATTCTAGTATACTGTATAGTGACCCTGTGATCCCCAAATAGAAACCAAAACGTCGATTCCCACAGTACAGGACACAGTTTCGATCAATTTCCCTAGGGATCCAAGTACCTTCTCGGAAGGTGATTGGAGATTGGAGACACTGTTCTGTACTTTCCAGGAGGGTCCAGTCGTACCTTCTGAGAAAATACTTAAATCCCTAGGGTTTGGGGACCATTGCAGCACCCCATCCTTGGAACTCCCTCCACTTCGCTCCGTTCGCGAACGCGAGTCCGCCGTTCCAACACTGCTGCCGATCGCGCGCATTCGCGCGATGGGAAGGGTGTTTTGGCGGGTCCCAGACGTCGGTCTCCCGAGCTTTGAGGCTTTGGGAAAGTTAAAGACAAACCCCCAGGGATCCGTACCGAACCTCAGGTACGGTGAGGACGGAGACTGTTTATATTGTTTATGTATTTGGAGGGTCCAGTCGTACCTTCTCAGGTTCGGCACGACTGGACCCTCCTGGCACCTATATACAGTTACACAATAGGGCACTTGGATCCCTAGGGCTTGGTAAGACAGCAGGATTCAGAAACTGCATGAAATTGCAACATGATATCTTTTTGGGTCATATCAAGTCTCACTCTACATGACATGGAGCCTCATGCCGTGTGCCTGGTGGGTCCAGGCTGAAGCTTTCGCCCGAACCGAATGACTGCAGACACCGGTCGGTGGCGAGCTGGGGCGAGTGATCCGAACAACCACCGGTCCCTGCGGTGATCTGGAGACGGTGGAGATCTAGTGAACATCGAACGGACAACAGACAGGTCGAACGACTCAAAGAGCTGCCAGAGCCGCGAATTCTGGTCTGTTTTGCTGCAACATGTGCTCCCCAAATCTGTGAGCCAGACAAAAAGAGGTTGGTTAAGCCTGCATATCGGCATATCAACCCCCCTATAGGCTCTGAAGTCTTTGGGTGTTGTTTGGTTATTTGGAGCTTTTGAATGCGTTTGGTGATTTCAGATTCTTGGCATGTTTCTTCCTCCCATCACCCAACTCCCAGGAACCAGAGACTTGCAATGCGTTCCCAGAGCCTGTGAAGCCTGTCACTCAGCCCGAGCCCGTGGCTGAGACGAGGGTGGAGGCCGGGAAAGTCGTGGGTAGACACTGAGTCGTGGCTGGGTGGGAGACCTTCCTGACCGACCCCACAGAGAAGGAGATAGATGGTGTCGTGGGGTTGTGGGGTCCAGTCATTGTGGGTGCCAGTCTGGCCCTTGTGGCTTTTTCTGTTGCGATGCTGGGTATAGCTAGGTTACTGGCTTGTCCAAATGCTTGATGTAAGAAGAAGTGCTATACGTTGGGTTTGTAGGCAGGATGGACATCACAAGGGTTCGCGCAGTTCGTGGGAGCTGCCGGATCCCAAGGAGCTGTGGAGCCCCAAAGAGACGGTTGATGTTCTTGTTTCAACACCCACAGCCACATTCCTGGAGGACATCTTGTGTTCAATACCTGGACTACACCGAGGGGACCGGGCATCCTACCCCAAAGGTCTTTTTCGGTGCACCCTCCCCCCCGAAAGCGGGGCATCTTGGTCAGAACTCCAGGTTGTCAGAGCTCCTCCTTGCTCTCACTGTGTCAGGCTGAGCGCAAGGAGCCAGTGAAGCAGATCAACATTCGCGCCGCTGGAAACAAATATCCTTTGGGCCTGGCCAGGCGCCCCCGCGCTGTAGAAAAGCATGGTCGACGGATGTGAACGGGACCTGTTTTTGCAGCCGCACGGCCCCGCCCTATTCGAAGCTGTCCGCTGGACCTGTCAACCTCCAACAGGTCAAAGTGTTCACACTCCATGGGACTAAAATATATGCCTATATACATTGACCCCTGAAATCATTCCAACTGGTCGGCATATACTTAGAGTCTTGGAGTGTTTGAGACCTGTTTGAAACTTGTTTCGTTCGGACCTCTCATCCATTGCGAACTCTGTCGCTTCCCCACTCCGCGCCGACCGCACCGACCGTACGCCTTGGACCGATGGGGACGGAGGTTCATGGGCTCCACGCATGTGGTGGTGGGCCACTTATTCGCGAAGGGAGTCACATCACCGACCTACTTCTTCGGCTGGGGCTTCACCTGGGTGTGTCTTGGCAGATCTGTGGCATGAGATGTGTGGTGTTTGAGGATGAGGACGATATATATATATATATGTAAATTACAAATATAGATATTACAATTACACACAGTGGACAAGATGTGTATAGAGTCTAGTGAATAACCTAGTAACCTGTTTTTTTGTGGATTGTTTTGTTTCAGGTTCAAAACCAATCAGGTGGAAAGTGTTTTCCCTTAATTCTCGGAAACTGAGGGAGTCAAACTCTACACCCAGACAATCGATGTATTATGTATTATGGAAAACTTAGATTGACACCTTTTCAACCACCCTTGTCATCTCTTCTGCCAGTCCCATGGAGTGTTTTGGATAGTACAGTGGTTTCAGAGTAAATAGCACAGACCTCAGGATGTCCTTTACATGGGGGTTTGTGCCATTGGTCCTCTAAATCGTAACCGTTGAGGACGATCTTCTTTCTCGCGACAGGACCCTCCCCACAGGACCGTCCCCACAGTGATTTTGGGACCAATCAACCACACGAAAAGACCTGCATGCGACCCCAAGATGTCTACCAGGACCCTCCAAGGGGTGCCCAATGGAAGCCTATAGGTAGTGTGAGGTAGTCCAGCCAGGACACCCCTTGGGGGGTCCAGGTAGCCTTCTTCCGTTGTGACTGGACCGGATGTCTGGCTGGACGAAGGAAGGCGGAAAAAGCATGGCCTTCTTGCTGTTGATGATGAAATTGAGGGGGATACCCCCAAGTGCAGAGCCAATTGAGGCAAATTGAGCCCCTTGGTTCTCGCCGGACGGACCTCATTCTTGCTTGCAACTCAACTGTCACGCCGGACGGACCCGGTTGGAGGCCATGGTTCTTTATGTTGAGCGGCTTTGTGCTTTTCTCAGCCTACCTGAAGAATCCCAAGGAGGAAACGATGATTCAGCAACTTGTCAAGGTTTCTTTCAGAGCAACATTCTGGAGGGTATGAGATGAACGGAGCTAGTAGTGACTTGCTAAGCTTTGTACTCACCTGGAAGTCGAGAAACGCTATTGGACCTGGTTGAATTCCTAGGCAAGTTGCTGTTTGCGTTTTGTGAACCCCAAGATGTCTTAGACAGGTGAGATCCATATAAACTATCTCGGGCATTGTGCTACTCTCAATCCACTATACACTCCCTGAAATCATCATGGGAAGTGGAAATCAGTGGAATTCACTGAGTTCACCACCTGTTTGGTGGGACTGCAGACTGTGACAGTCTTCTGAGTCTTCGGGGCCATGCCATCCGTGGGCCACCATGATTTCAGGGAGTGTACCAGTTGGGTCAACTTAGTTCTAGATCCATCTCCTGCACAGCAGCGGCTGCGTCCGGGAAGGGGAAGGAGCTCCGTCTTTCCGGTCAATGAGTTCATCCAGGTCAAGCTCTGAAACCACTGCAAATAGTTTCAGGGACATCCAGAATCTCGGAAGTTATCGGCAGGTTCAATGCACGTCATCAGGTTTGTGTCGCGACCCAGAACCTGTATCTTGGTCATGAAAGTCCAAAGAACCCGACCAAGGACGTGTTTGTTGCTTGAAAGGATGCATATTGAAAACCAGTCCATTCCGAACATTAAATAATGGAACTGTATCTAAACCCAACGGTCGTGCACTTGGAATGTGAGTGCTTCAATTTTGAACTTCTCCTCCTTCAACACCTCACCAGCACTTCATCGTGCAACGTGAGCGCCACGCGTGGGTAATCATCGCCAGCATCATTGCCTCATGCTGGCTGAGGTACGTGTTGCGGAGGAGCACCACCATCTACCCGCTCTACGCTTTCTCATTGATTCCGGCTGCCCGGCTGAGTGGGTGTTTGAGCAGGTTTGAGCCTTCGGCGGAGGGCGGTTCGTTCAATGGAAGGTCCTTCTCCCGGGTGAAACCATGTAAGGGGACTCTTGAAGAATATGGCCGTTTACGCAGTGGCCGTAGCTTGTTCCAATAGGCTGCTCAGCAAAGGCCCACCGACCCTCTTGGTAGGCTCAGTGAACTTTTGCCCAAGAGTCAAAGAAAGTTGTTTTTTTTGATTGAAGCCATGGCCCGTTGGTGTGTATTTCGATAGAGAGACCCCCCCAACCAATGGGTTTCGTCCGAATCCCTATTTCCAAGAGGTCGAACTCGGAGGTCTCCCTATTTTAATTCACACCTCATGGTTTGGGTCATATGTCGCTTCCCCAGCCGTTGAACCCAAGCAGACATGTATCCGCCCCCAGGCCTTCATTTTGGGCAAAGCCTATGGAACTATGGCGGCGGAGTGGCCCACCTTGTTGGCTCAGAGCTTCCTTCTGCAAGCCTGGGCTCCTTTCCTCCAGTCGAAACATCCGTTGACTTTTGTGAACCGCACCAAACGCGCGAACCGATTGGGAGTGGTTTCATGACGTGTTGCTCAAGTCCTCGACTTGTTTATCGTATGGGTCACTGGGCCACAGTTGTAGCAGAGATGAAGCCCGCCTTGTGCGAAGTCGTTGCCGTTGAGATGTTTGCCGTTGTTGCCTTGGAAAACAAGAACGGTTGGAAGTGAAAGCTGGTGGCTTTGCTTGGACTTCCCAAATCATACACGGATGCGCTGGTGGTTTTGACACTCCAAGATACTCCAAGTGATACCGGCATGCCCTTGGCATGGGATCAACGGTGGGTGGGGCTTGGAAGACAGATCAACATCCACAGGATGTTTTTGTAGCTAGATCGAGTGGCTTGTGTCACACCCACCAGCCAGCACATCCAGCAGCTAGCCTTTGTTGACTTTAACCATGTATAAGCCTCAATGACCATGGAATCGGTTTTTCAGCACCGCCCTGGTCAGTTTTCACCCAGATGTTCCTGTGAGCAGGAAGCGATCCGAGGGCTTTTTGCGAAGGCTTTTCATCGAAGAAGAATGTACGAAGGTAGAAAACGGCCAGTGGATGGGTTTCTCGTGGTCAAGTCGGGTCAAGTATACAAATGGCGTGTGCCTTTGTTCAACGTGTTTTGTCCAACTCTTCTCAGACCTTCAGAGAAGAACTGGATGGCTCAGAAGAACCTGTGTCCGAATCATCATGGATTTAGGGAAGTGAACCAACCGCCGGGGCCATGGTATTTGGAGAAACAACATGGTCATCCGAGTCTTCGGGGCGACACCCATGTTAACCACCCATGTAACCACGGGAGTGCCCTTGGATGAAGTCTTTTCCTCTATTGCAAATGGGTGGTGCAGTGAACTCCACCTAACTACAATGAGAATCATGGGAGTGTAAAACTCCATTGGTCTTGTGGCTCCAGGCAGGGGACCAGAACTCTCACATGACAGGTAGAGGTCGGTTCGCTTCGCCAAATACACCTCGCTGAACGTCGTCGCGCCTCGCACTGCGTGTCGTCTTCTTCACGCTCTTCTTCTCGCCGAGAACACACGCCACTCCCTTCACTTCCAAGGTTCCACACTTCACAGAGAACGCGTTGCAGATGCACTGTTGGTTCTTAAGCTGCCTAGCTGAAGCACAGCAGGGCGAGCTCCGACCACTGTGGCAAAACCTGGCTGGGGTCGGTGTCCGATCGCTGCGTGGAGTGTCTCAGACCGCTTTGTTTGGCCTGGTGTTGGAAACATCAGCACTGGGCACACTCCCAAACAACATCCTGCCTCTACTAGGGGTGCTTTTGCATGGTGGACATGAGACCAACAAAGACAAAGCTGTGATGGATGTATTTGAGAGGCAGTCCAGAAGGACGGGACGGTATACGGCACGCAGCAAAAGGGTTTGCAAGACAATCTCTTCTACTCACTTTGCGTTCTCGGCCCGGCCATGGCAGGCCTTTCGTGGAACAGTGGACCTGTAGACATTGGTGCACCGTAACCATAACACCCCCACAAGCCATCGCAGAACCTCGTGGAAGGTGTTCATGACCCACCCTGACCACCGCACGCGCACCCCCCCCTTGCATTTTGCCTTCACACAGTCTACGCAAAACACAGTTTATACTGACTTGTGACTTTAGTTTAGTGATGTTTAGTAATTAGATGTGTTTCCTCTAGAGTTGATATTTTTTTGTTTCAGTCATATAAATATGTATGGTTTAACACACATATATATATATATTAATATACTGTATACACAACACACTTGTACAGTCATGTACAGACACATGGCTGGTAACTAACTGGGGACATGCCGAATGTCATGTGGCCTTCTTGAGAAGGGGAAACAACAACCATTGCCATGATGTTGTCATTTTTTTGTGTGTGTGTGTGTTTGATGAATACGTGCCCCCATACTGTGCATACCGAGGTTGCATGGTGGTCTATTGGTTCTTCTTCAAACCCTTATCCCACCTACTGAAGAACATCACTTTGCTGAAGCTCGGCAGGGATTTCTTACGAGGAGGACATGAGGAGGACATAGGAGGGTCGTTTGCTACAAAGAGGTTTTACTCAAAGTATTGATGTTCATCCGTTTGCCTTCCAATCTGCATAATATTGACAAGAGGCAGGCGACACGCCGATCGACATGCCCAAGCTGGAAACTCACCAGATCCCTTCCGGGGTTTTCATGTTTTCGTGAGTTCTGGGTACGGATCATCAGATCCGGAAGGTAATGTTTTGCCAGGAATTTAACATGATGAAGGTCTTGGTATGAAATTCAGTCTTGAGCCTTGAGTCTTAGGTCGTTCCTACTGTTCATGTTCTTAGCTTCTTGAAGCACAAGGTTTGCAAGTACGTAGAGTATGATACTGCCACCGCAAAAGGGTGGCAACACTTATTGCGTCGATCAAGAAGTGACCGATAGGATTCGTTTGGTTCCAGAGGTGTGACACAAGACACCCAGTTTCCATGAGCTAAGTTGAGGTGCGCAGATGTTCCACCAGTGTTCAGTAATTATCGATGCAATACAGTCTTTGCCCTCACTATTCTATAGAGGAGGCTCAGTGGTGCAACGGAGATTCAAGTGAGTTGAAGCCTTGAAGCCACCAGCAAGTACAGATATTTTGTCTCGTTTGCGCTTTTTGGGATATCCAACAAGTTTTGAGGCTATCAACAGGCAGAGTAGCACACAACTCGATAATATGGCAAAACACGCGTCGTATCCTTGTGGACACTGAGAAACTTATGAATCGTTTGCCCGAGAATTACTTGTTTAAATTTGGGGTAACTTTAGTAGCCCCCAAACTCATGCTCTTTGTTCCAGCATTTTTGCTGATAGAGTCTCAGCACGTTGATATTCCGATGTTTGATAAAGTTGTTTGTTCTGTCCAGATGCAGTCTGGGGTGCAATTTGGTTGGTCAAAAAACAGTCTGGTGCAGACATTCTTGTCACGCAAGGCGATGAGACCTGCGAAAGCCACACCATGTCCAGAACTCAACACCCAGACACTCCATGTATGCCATATATGCCTACATTGTGGTAGTTGACTGGGGGTCAATTGATCAGCAGTCCTATGGCAGTCCCAGACGGGTCGTGTTTGGGACAGAACTCTTGCATGGCCACTTCGACAGTCATCGACTTCGTTTCGCTCTTCGTTCGCTTCAGGAAGACATGTTTGCTGATGGGCTTCTTTTTTTGCCTCCCCTGGCTCTTGATTTTGATTCCACTCATCGCCGGTGAAGATGTCGACTGGTACAAGGAGAGCCGTTTACCAGGGAACACGGGCAAAAATGGCAGCAAAGACGGAAGCAAGAGCGGTGGAAATCGGAGCTCTTAGATGAAAAGCAAGGGGATTTCGGGCTGGACCCCTATTTTGGTTCACGGGGCTCGCGCCCGATGAATCAGTGATCAATGGATTATCCCAGACACGACCCGTCTGGGACTGCCATAGGACTGCCGATTAATTGACCCCCAGTCAACCACCCCAACTGATCGGCATATATGGCATACATGGAGTGTCTGGGTATGTTCTTTTTTGGTAGGAAGATGAGTCTCACAAGATCGGACCAGTCTGAGATATCAAATTCGTGGACTCAAGTGACCCAACTTGGGTTTCGTCTCGGGGTAGCTTGGTGGGCCGACTGGGGAAGGAACCGGCTCAGGTGAAAATGTATGATGTCCACATTCAGTTTGGTTTGGAGACATGAACGACGGAGCAATAGGGATTATCAGGGGTTGCCCTTTCTTGGAAAAACTGGCTCAAGCCCCCCTTTTCGATTTTGTTTTTGCGTACAATCTCATCTACATTATGGTAACTTGCACTGTTGGACAGATTAGGGTCCAGGGTGAACTTGCCGACAATTTGTGAGGGACAAGGCCTAATTCATTATCATAATTTGAAAGGAGCTTAAAGTGGTTGCTTGCGGGTGGGTGTTGCGAGGGAGAGAACAACACATGCTCACCACCAAGCAAGTCAGACTGTTCTTTGCCCATCCCCGCGACCACCATCTCACGGTGAATTTGAAGGATCTTGACAATCACGCAGGCCATACGAATAAAACCTATACCAGGAGCCCCAAAGGGTAGGGGTGATTTTTAGATCCATCAAGTGAGCGGATAATGGGTACCCCTAAAACCCAGACACTCCATGTATGGAATATATACTGTAATGCCTACCTTGACCCCTTTTCAACCACCCCAATGGAGGTATATAAATATGGTCCCTATTCGGTCCCTATAGTTGTGTTTGGTGTTTGGGTATTCTAATCTATATGCCTCCAAAAGTCCTTGCGACCGAAGAATTTCCGAGAACTGATTCGGTGCCCTTTTTTGAGACCGCTTCAGCGGGGCCCATCTGGCAGAATCACCAGTTCTACCAGACCGATGACTTCCTGGACATTGGAGTGATCGTGCTGAAGTACCATCCCATTTGCTACTTCCATGCACCTTGAATGAGACTTACTCGACCAAACACGCACCGGTACACGTCAGATTTCGGCGTCGGACATGGCCCCATGAGCCTTCTCCAATCATATGTATTTCTTATTTCTACTAGCTTCTTGTTACTAGTTATTCTTTCTTAACTCCGACCTGGGCCAACGCCTCTCCGACTCTCCGATGTTCGTTCCCAAAAGCATCCTCCTCAGCAGGATCGTCCTGACATCCTTGGAGATCGTCCAACCGTCGTGTGGGAGCGAGGAGCATAGGTCACATAGGTTCGGCGCCACACTGACCAAGTGGAGCAACGCCAAGGGAGAAGCCCGGAGCCCAAAGTACAGACCAGACCTTTTGGATCTAGTGCAGGCCGACCGACATGCACAAGGTAAACAGTGAAGCGCGCCTGTTTGAAGGGTTTTCGCGTGACACCCTGAATGGTGAAGACGCACCAAAAGGGGACCTTTGGGGGTCAAGGTCTTCATCCTGGGAATGCTCTTGGCCAAGCTTCGGCAGCTTTTGGATAAGAAAGCCACCGCCTCTCCACATGGCAGCCTGGCAGAGAACGACGACCGGTGCGCGTGCATGCAAGTGCGCGCTGGGTGACGGTGAAACCATGCCACTCACCTGTGCGCTCACCTGTGCAGCCCTGCATTCTACATGGAGCCAGTGCAGTGGGATTTTTTACTTGTAGGGTTCCAGGTCAAATATCGGACAAGGAGAATCAGAACCATTTTAGATGGAGTATCCAGGATTGATTGCTGGTGACCTTTCTGGCAACGGTTTCATGAGCTGCTTTTTTTGAAGTGAACATATGCTGGACATTTTAGCGGACATTGAGTTCCAGCTTCATTCTTGGGACAACTCATTTGGACAAGACGAAAATGGCTTTGGTGAGATGTAAGGGCTGACTACGCTGACATGTGATTTTCCTAAAGACGTTCGATCTATTCTTTCAACTGCCCAACACGGGCTGTGGAAACGGATAGACACTGAACGAGTCGCGCGATGTTCTGGAATTGACCTGGAGCAGGCTGCTTCTCTTGGCGGAATCCCTATGTCGTGGCTTTGCAGTTCGTGGCACCACTAGGATACTTAGCCTTTTGGCAGTTCAATGGAGCGCTGGCGGGCGTTTCGGAAACACCATGGAGATGCCAGGAAGAACTGGGTGGTGGTTTCCGATATGTTTATGTTCAACCTTTACTTGGGATGATTGAACCCACTGACTCATTTTCGTTGTTCATTCCGTTTCGTTGAAAACCAGCAAGTCGAGACGTCATTGATTTTGTGTAATTCTTGTGTGACAAAAAACAAGGTTGGCATTCGCAAAAGAGCGTCTTTACATGCTTATATATACTATCTCTTGACTCATATCGCAGTTCACACAGACTGCTGATGTACTGGGACTTTTGATGGACCCGAAGAAAGCAGCCTCCGAAACCAACGGGGAAGCTCGGAAGGAGAAGCGAAGCTCGCAAATGGCACCGGACACGAAACGCTTCCACAGCCTTCCAGTCCATTCTTCCGCATGGTCTGGTGTTTGGCCTTTGGCTGCGCTGAAGCGCTCCCCCCCAAAAGGAGAAGAACTTGGAGGCCGAAGCGCCTTTGAACCTTCCCCTTGGGCCTCCTTTGCATTGGTCGTTTGGCCGTGAGCCCGACTTCGCTCGCTGCTTCCGGCCATCGAACATCCAAAGCCTCGCGCGATCGCGGCGATGGACTACCTGTGATATACCTGCATGGAGAAGACCCGAGTCGTCAGAAGCTCTGAATGTTAGGGTAAACATTTGAGGGTCCATCCCGGTCCCTTTTTGGATAAGAACCTTACACAACGTGGCTCATGTTTGGGCTCATGCACATTCTCATCCAAAACCCTCCCAGACCGCCAGAATCCGTTAGACCCCTCTCAAGCCGTATTTTGTGTGCAACTCACCTGAGGCATTGCTGCTGGTCTTCAGCGTGCAAGAGTTCCAAGCCAAGGCCTGGGGCTACAAGCTCTCGGCACGAGTCTCCGCCCCTTGCCCAAGTGGACAGGGATGTGGGACGCACGGCTCGCGGTACGCAGCGATTCTGCCGACCTTTGTGGCGGGAATAATTTTGCACAGTATAGAATTGTATAGAATTGCAAGAAAATCGAATGAAAGTACACTGTACACTCCCTGAAATAATCATGGAAGTGGAGTTCGCCTGTTTGTAGAGGAAGTTGGTCATCCAAGAGGCCATGCCATCCACTTCCATGATTATTGAGCTGGTTGAGGCACAATGGTCTAATTCAGGACGTTCAAGCTTGACTCGGAGAACGCTTTGAGAACCGTGAAGGGTGGATCTGAGCCTTTCCAATCCGATGCGGCCATCTGGACATGACACAGGAACTTTTCCCAAGATCTTTCCTCCTTCCAGTGAGATTCCATGTTTAGAACCACCCGGATCTCAACTTGGGTCACTTTGAAGACAACACAATACAGGTTGTTGGACACTTTCAACGGTGTTTTACTTGCTTCGTCAAAAAGAGTTGGGGATGACCTGCATTTTGTCCTTCGTTTCGAACCGGGCCCTCGAGGGCGGCACTGATGGGGCTGAGGTGCTGCTGCCGTTCCAGGCCATGATCCTCTTTGGCTTGGCTGGGCTGCCCAGCCTGCCCCTGTTCCTTGGATTGATTGGAAGTTAGAGAAATGGTGGAGGAGAAATCGGAAGGACACACCCAGCGAACTCACCAAACACCTCAAGTCACCACTTTTTGTGTTCAACTCATGGCGTTTCCAGCGTTTAACATTTGGTTTCTTTGAGTTCAGTTCACTGAAGAAAGCTCCCAAAGGATGATCATGGACTGAAGATGGAAGCTGAACAGACCCGAACAGTGGAGAAGGTCGCAGCCGAACGGTTCCACCGAACGCTTCTTTCAGGGACGTTCTTGACCAGTGCTTCGTACTCGTTCGCTCTCGCCCACTCCGGTGCCGCTGTCACGGTCACGGTCACGCGTGCCCGGGACCGACGAGTCCAACGGTCTTGGTCTCGGTGACGGTCTAGTCTAGGGTCTTGGGTCCTGTTGCGTGCACGACGTGGAGACATCCCTGTTTATAAGGCTATTTCATCGGAGATAGAACGAGAAGAGAAACGTCCAAGCGTTTCAAACGAAGGCCAATGGCCTGCAGGTGGACACCTGTCAAACTTTTGAAGGACAGCCCAGCAGACGGCTTCAAAGAGCAGATGTTGAGGCCATACTTCTCCTACATGTTCTCCAAGATGGACTTCCTTGAGAACTACTCCTATTGCGCACCTCGGGTCTGTGGGAACTAGATCATCGACAGCAGGTTTCGATGTGATCTCAGGTGCACTTTCTCCGAACCGTTAGTTTCATCCTTAGGCATGTGCTGTGTTTTTTGCGTTTAATGGAACAGGTGGAAGCAAGCGCTGCCCATATGTTTTCTGGGTAACTCAGAAACTTTCAATTGAGTGCAGCCAGACTTATCCTGTAATCATCCTGTATCTAACAGGTGGACTGCGCTTGATTGGTGCATCTAAGATCAAACCAAGGGAAGGTGTTTGGAACAGACATATGAGCATTCCGACATTGCTGTCACTTGTAGTCACAGGTTTCGTCACAAGGAATCAAGACATGCCATGATGAAGGGTACAATCACCAAAATCGATCCTGCTTCCATTCCCCATTCTTCACGTTCCAGACATAATCAGCGCTTCGAACAAAGTTCATACTTCGACTGGATGTGTGAATTTGCAGCAACTCTGGATTGGTCATCATGCGTAGGCTGAGATACGAGAAACTGAAAGCAGTTCGAACTTGTCAGGTGATCAACATGTTGGCACAGTTGGGAACTCGACTCAAAAGACAATCCATTGAGACTTCCAAAAAGGGCTTTGTTTTGTCACCGAAAAAGTCTCAACATCTCAATGTTGAGGTGGAATCATGTGTTGGCTAGCCCATCCCCGCGAGTTGTTATCTCGAATTGGTGGACTTGAGTCTTGTCCCTCACAGAGGGAGGTTCACACACACAAGGGTCCCTTCGGCTCTTGAATTACAAACAGTATTACAACACCTCCTTTTCTTGGACCATCCAAAGCCCTTAGAACATCCTCGCAGCCAGCAAGAATAACATGCACATCAACATCCTCGCAGCCAGCAAATTTGGACATCAACAAGCCGAGGTCTATGTCTTCCAGTTCCTTTGCTATGCGATTTGGCCACAGACCGGCTCCTTAGCAATGATTTGGACCGTGCGACCGAGCATTCGGGCTGAGCTGTGTGAGGGAGATCTTGAAGTGGTTGAAATGCCAAGGGGGGAAAGCTATAACTGTTATGAGGGATGACCCTCAAGATGGACCAGGGTGAACTTCAAGACCATGGAAACTCATCAGAAGGTGTGTGTGTGTGTGGGTTTGTGTCGACAACGGATGCTTTAGGTCTTGGGATGTCTTTTTTGTTTTGTGCCTTCAAGGACACCTCTGAGAGACATACGGCATAAGACAGTCCTTAAGGATCCACAATACCCTTTGAGAGGGTGATTGGAGACACTGTTATTCTATAGCTTTGATTAGCCTTTGAGCCGTTGGAGGGTCAAGATTTTCTCCGGAAAACAGTGTGGTCACACTAGGGGTTCATATGGTAGGGAACATTTTTGGATATCTTTTTGGGGGGTTCTCTTGCCAGAAAATCTTGAGGTCATTGATTTCTCAATATTTCTTCTCTCTAGTCGCTTGCCCGCTGCCTGCGCGGGAGGGGGGTTCAAATTCCTTGGACCCTTTGCGCTTCGCCTCTTGACACGGCGCGACCGTATCAGGACGCGCCGGACTGTGCGCGCCTGATTCTCAACGGAACTGATCTCGTGTTTTGGTGGTGTGTTGATGTCCCAAAAGCTTCCAGTGGGGGTCGGAACGCCTGGGAGGTCTCCCTTTTTGAATACACACCCATGCGTTTGTGCTTGTTTATTGTATGTTTTTGATAATTGTATGGTTACTTTTCGGTTACCTTCGTGAAGCATGGACGCCGGACAAAAAAAGTAACTTGATGACTTAATGTGGTGTTAAACTGACCCTTGCATTGCGGCTCTCCAAGTGCAGACATTTGTTTATCATTGACCAGCTTGAATATATATATATATATATATTATACACAATTGTTTGTTATGATATGTTGATGGCGCATCCAAACATACCTCCAAGACGTGACAATTCCAGGCAAATATGGTGCCTGTATTCATCCCCAGCTGAGGTTTGGTGAACCTCTTCTGGTACATCATTTACACCTACGCCACTGCCTTCCTTTTGGCCCGTCTCATTCAGCAACCGATCCAGAAATGGTGGGCCGCCCATACTAAGGCCCGACTGGTGGTTCCTTGGCACTAAGTGTGTTCTTTCAACATGTAACACCATAGGATAATTGGGAGTACTGAAGAATTGAGACTTCCTTCATCACAGGTCGTACTTTTCACGTGTTTCTTCCTTGCGGAAGATGTCGAGTGTAAATCGTTTCTGGGGTGGAATCTAGAAATATATAAATGTTGGTTCTCTTTGCAGGATACTTTATCCACCAGTCTCAATTAAAGAGGATCAGGCAACAGATTTCCGCACCTGTCAAACAGTATCCAGTGTTACATGCAAATTATATAGTTCAATTGATATGCGTGTATACATGGTTGCTGCCTTTAGTCGCCTCACAGCTAGGTGCCTTTCGTTTTGGGCACCTTCCTCGTTGGCTTCAGCTTTTTGCCGGACCCCGCCTACGACAACAGCTTGCCCGACCTGCCTGCGTCGATCATGATCGACAACCGCACGGTGGACGTCCGTCTGAACTTGGAGGATCCTGAAGGACGCCTAAGAGGCGCGGTTGGTGGAGTTGGACCGTTCGGACTCGATGTTCTGACTGTTTGTTACATTTTGTTACTAGTAGCTATATTTGCTACTAATATCTATACTAGTAATAAGGCCAGGAGCGCCTAGTATAGTAGCTTCTTCCTCCGTTCGGGTTCCATGCCCGTTTCGATGCTACGTGTTCGGGTTCGCTTCTTGTGACGTTCGTAGGGAATGAGGGAATGGGTCCTCAGGTATCAAGTCGTTCTTTGATCCTCTACTAAGCCCTAGTCAGTGTTGAGAGATGCCTACTGAGTTTGATCGTCGTTCCTCCTTCGATACCGATGCCTCGCTCCACTCCACTCCACTCCACTGACTCACGAGCGGTTCGTGGGTTTACTCGTTCGAAGTCGTTGGCGAGTTGTATCAAGAGAGTCCGGCGGTTGAGCCACCAGAATCCTGTTGCTCGCCTTGATTTGTTGGGCTCTTGTCAGATCCGTGTGCAATTTGTTTAGGGAAATTGCATGAAATTGCAGCCCAGCCAAAAGCTAAGTTCATTCTAATTTGTAGGGATCCGTACCTTCTCAGAAGGTACTTGGACCCTCCAAACCTACATAACAGTGTCTCCAATCACCTTCTGAGAAGGTACTTGGATCCCTAGGGAATCAACCAGGTGTTCGACTCTCTTGGTCTTAGGGCTGAAGCCGGCCCCAAACAAGTAGCTTGAGGGTTCTGAAGCCGGGCAGCAAAACTCTTCAACACTTGTTCCATGACCTTGATGTTTTTCTGGATAACTGCATCCTGATCCCTACCGCGGAACCACCTGGAGACCTATTCCAAAGGGCACAAGGAGGCACACATATCATGTGGTTTTTGTTCAAAAGGACCTACCCCAAACTCCCTGGCGCCAGCCTTCAACGTCCCCGGCTTTCTGTCAGGTGCCATGGTGATCAATCCTTCACTTCTCATCCAGGACGGCCAAATCCTGGTGGCCGCGCGGCGCCATCGACGGGAGACGCTGCAGCGGAACGGCATCTATCATGGACCGGAAGGTGCGGTGATCGACGTGATCGACGGGAGACGGAGAGCAGACTTGGAGACGGGAACAGCCAGGACGCGTGGTTCGTGGCAAGTAACTTAGACACATCTCAATTAGCCACCTACCACGAACCTCAGTCTGTCCAAAATCCTTCAACATGTTAGAATATGAACATCTTCAGCACCAGGCACCGGCCTGCGCCACTGGTCCACCTGCCGCGGCCGAGGCAGCGGCGATGCGGTGATCATCGATCAGATTTGGCACTCGGAGATCCTCCTGGGCAGCAAGGCACCCGCCGGTGGCGAGGGAGATGGAAAAGAGAACACACCCAAAAGAACTAAGAACCTGGCGTTTTGAGGGGATGATTGGAAGGAATGGGTGCTTGTTTCCTTTTTCATTGGAACGGACCAGTTCCGAGATGTAATATAGCCGTGAGGGTTGGGCGTGGGTGAGAGTGGAAGACGTGGAGAATCGATCATACCCAGACGCTCCATGGGACTGCCATATATGCCGCCCCATTGACCCCTCAAAGCACCCTGGGATACATTGATCTGGTAACCGGGTTTTCGATCCGCGCGCGTCGCGTGTTCTTGCGGTGCGGACGTGGTTCCGACCAGCGAAGACTGTGAGCCCTTCGTCGACGCGTTTGTTGGAAGCTCACAGGTTCTGAGGAGAGATCATCTGCTTGAGCTTTTACAGTTCTGCTGATGACAAGTCTTTCCTCACCCAGTTGTAGATGGAGGACCTGACCCGACCATTTCCACCAGAACTGATGGGCCTTGGCCGGTCCCGGTGGACTGGCCCTTTAGCGATCGATCCACAAGCTGGAAGACCTGGTGCCCCACCCCCAGTGCCTCTGGTAGAAATCTAATACATGGTTGTCCTATGGCAATTGAGAGCCTTTACATACAACGTGGGCGGAAAAACTGGTTGAGACTCCTTTTTCCAGGAAGATCCAGATGGGTAGCTGGAGTCGCCCAGTTTTCTCTCCACCAGATGCATCCAGATGCTCCAAGCGAATCCTGCGACCATCACCACATGGCACTTCGTATCTGAATGATAGATAGATAGATAGATCATACACCAAAGATCTCATGTAATTTAGAGGACAATATAGGGAAAGACCTCCAAAGACCCCCAGGTCTTTGTGGTCGATGTTCCGTCTTCCAGGATTTCGGAGGCTTTTTCTGGTCTCCCTATTGGTCGATGTTCCACCCACCCACCATTGACCCACAAGGAGACGGAGATGACTTACATTGTTTGACAATTCCTGGTTCTGAATCTCTATGCGGTAGTTGTTCGGTTTCATCACCCTGGTTGACATCTGGAGCCCTGGAGCCCATGTAATGTAGCGAAGAACTCTCAGGTAGGTCAACCGGTCAACCAGTCGGTCTCCTGCCATGACCCACAGTTATGTGTTTGTCGCCTCCAATGGTCAGGCCATCGACGCGGATGCCTGGAAAAAGTGGCCCACAGGAGGTTCCAGCCCCATGGAACCCTGGCGCAACCAGCTGCGCAACCTGCGCGGAACGATGTGGGAGGCGTTCTGGGGCCGGTATGCGGTGGGCGGTGGCCTGCACCTAAGATTCATGGAACATAGGCAAGATCCATAGACTGGTGTATCAAAAAGGATTAAAGGATTGGAGAAACCATGGAGAGAGCCGCTGAGCTTTGCACGTTGGACAGCACCGGGAGGAATCGCCGTGGCTTGCTTCGAGGTTCTTGACACCATGTGGATCCCAGTCGTTCTTGCGAGCGGCCTTAGCTATACGTTCCAACGAGGACATCATATATATGGAAGTGGAGTGGAAAACCCTCTGTTCGGGCAGTCGTTTTCGGAGGCCATGCTCCTTTGTTCCCCACGTGACCATGTGATGAGTTTCGTCAGACAGTAGCTAGACCAGAATCCATTGTGCCACCCTTAGGGGGATGCACCCTCCGAACAGACAATACATGGAAGCGGATGAAGATAGACGACTACCAGGACTCCCCAGTCGAAGTGGTGAATAATCCCCTCCACCTATTAAAAGACACGCCACCCCTATTAACAAAAACGCGGGTGCATTTGTTATATAGGGGATCCCTGAAATCGGGGTTGTCCAAAATCGGGTCAGTGAGAGGATCCTTGAATCATTGATTAACCAAAAAGTCACCCAGTAAATCTTTATACACAATCCTTTATTAAACTCGTATCAAAAATTGAAACAACCTCCACATCGAAGGGTCTTCCTTTTCCCCTTACACAAACCTTTGTAAAACATTAAACATAGTGATTCAGTGATTCTTCATTAGACTAGCAACTAAAGCTTTCGAAAGGTGAGTCCGTGCCATTGCGGGAAGGAAAACCGGCTGGTGTAAACGCGGCGTGTCATGGTGGATAGACAGGGTGGACAGAGGTGGGCAATTAGGGTTGTTTTATATAGATCCTAAAAACAAGGAACTCCACCCAAGTCGGCCATGTTGGTAGTTTAGTAGCGGTTTTAAAGGGCGGTAATTTACAAATATAAACTGTATTTAGGGGTTTCCGACATGGTGTTCTTTTTATTGGGGGAGTCGGGGAGTGTTTTTAAATAGGTACTCGGGATTAGACACCGCGGGGTCACCTCCACAGGGGCTATTAAAAATGTATTAGACACCTCAAAGCCGTGGGCCCTGGTATGGATTACGAACTGGAGGACGATGTTACTTATGGAGACCTCGTCCACTTCCATGTACTAAGCCTACGTACAATATCGAGTCCCTTTTACCGTCGCTTGTGCCTGGCAGCGACGGTCTCTCAGGATATGTCGATGAGCGCCTGGAGTGGATTGAGGACACCGCAGGGCAAGGAGTGGACCGAGTGGCCTGGCAGGACTGAAATCAGACGAGCAAGGCCGAGCTGCACGAGCAGAACCAGAGTTTTCAGGTGTATTTGTTGGGGGAAGATACACCATCATGGGTGTCTATCACCCACTTTCCGTGGTGCTGGAACATGTTCTTTACCTTGGGATGCATTTGGTTCTGGTGACTTGGTATATATCAAGTTCAAGGTCAAGGGTGAATCGGGCATTCCCATTGTGCTATACACTATTATACATCCCTCAATGCAACACTTGCTATTCTGCTTCCACCAACTCGACCTTCACAAGAGTGGATTCATGATGAGGACCTCTTACAGTGGTTGCAGACTTGGTGCAATCCTCCTATGCCGGTGGTGCAATTAACCCCATTGTGTCTAGGACGGCAGTTCCTGCCATCTATACTCTTTTCACCGCTCGAAAAGAAAGAAGCTGACTACCGGTGACCGCCCAACCACCCAACCGGTGATTTTGCACCCCCACCCCCACCGATGCCGGCGTCGTGAGACTTCGAGGCTTTGTGTCGTTGAGACCTGGATCCCCAGCAACAGCACCGTGATCCGCCACATCGTGACAGGCCCGTTTCGGATGGTCCGAATCGATCGACGGTTCCTCGTCGAACCATTTGGTGCCGAAGAAACCAGCGAATTGCAGCGGCCGCGTGGCCCGTTGATTTCTGCGGGAAACGCTGGGTCCGTCCCCTTTCGGCAAGGCTCGTGGGACCTTGCAGTCCACCTTTTTGCAAGTTGCAAGAAACCTGAAAGCCAATGCCAAAGTCTTGATATAGGTCACCACGCAGTGTGTCATTGGCCACTGAGCCGTCATGACTTATAATATGATAACATATGAACCAATTACTAACATATACTAACCATCTAAACATATCAAAATCACTCACCCAGAGGCTCATGGACCCTCAAACTGCTACCTGTTTGAGGTCCAAAACCCTGGCTGTGAGGGTGAAAACCCTAGCTATGAGGGTCCAATGAGCCTTTGGGCATAGAATAAGCAGAAGAAGACTTGCCGTTTGTGTACGGTTCTAACCTTTTATGTCCTGATTGAATCAAGCAATGCATTGCTGTTTCAAGATGTTTCAGCATGATGCAATCCCCAGTCATCCAGAACGACCGCGGCGGCGGACACCCGGCGGAGGTCCTGAGGATCCGAAGCCAGTGGGTGCTTCCAGCAGCGTCACCTGGCACATCGATGACGGCACGATGTCCTGTGGCACGATGTTCGAAGGTTTCGGGGGATCGATCCTTCGGGGGATCGATCCGAACTTCGATCTATGACCGGGGGTCATGTTTTGCCAGCAAGACAGTCAGTGATGGTGATTCTCCCAAAGTGACACAGTGAGTGACTCCCCACAGCTTGGGGAAGAGTGGGAAGATGATGGACGATGTGTGTTGGAATCCGGTGAAGTCGCGGAACCCGCTGTTCCGCCCTCCAAGGTCACCTTGGCCTTTGATTCCAAGCCACCTCATGGAGGTGGGGGCTGACTGCACGGGTTTCGAGGTGGGAGTGTGTGCACCTAGATGGTTTCCTTGCCATGTGGGAGAGGAAGATGATGGAAGATGAGAAGATGGAAGGTTACGAACATTGTTCTATTGCTTCTTGTAGGATTTTTCTAGGGATCCGAAACCTACATAACAGTGTCTCCAATCACCATCTGAGAAGGTACTTGGATCCATAGGGGATGTAGGATGTTGGACTTGGATTGGAAAAAAAACAACGCGTTACTTCACTAGGCCAGTGATCAAAGCAAAACACAAAATACCAGACACCCAGACAGACTCTCCAAGGACCATCCCGTTTTTGCGCGTCCGAGATCTACATCAAAGCCTACTATCCCGAGATCTACAGCTGTTTGACACACCCAGACCCAGACTGTGTGATCCAGGTAGAACGAGATGGGTACCTGGACCCTCCTTCCGATCGGTGTCCGTCCCCTGCCTGGAGCTCGCTCCACGCGGCCGAGCGTCGTCAGGCGATGAATCCACGTGCCGAAGAAGTCGAGGCTTCGCGGACTCGGTCACGCAGACGCTTGGATGTGCGGTCGAGACAGAGCAGTTTTTACAGGGAGAGATGTTTTTGGTATAACTGTATGAGGAGTTCCTCTAGGACATGGGCAGGGTTAAGCCTGTTGTAAGGGCTATGTTTTGGTATATAACTTTTTGGAGTTTATAAGGATCAAGTTATAGAAACTCTAGTGAATGTTCACCCAAATTCAAGTGCGGATTGATCATGATTGATCAGGCTAAGACGCAAAAGATCTTTGAAACCCGAATGTAGTGCAGAGCTACAGAATTAAAGGACTGCTGATCCCCTAGGGATCCAAGTACCCTCTCAGAAGGTACTTGGACCCTCGAAACCTACATAACAGTGTCTCCAATCACCTCCTGAGAAGGAACTTGGATCCCTAGGGATCAATCCTTGCAATGGTTTTTGGTTCATTTGAGGTGCGAAATTGCGAAGTTCGCCAGGTCCACCTGCACCTGTTTGCCTAGTCCACCTGCACCATATTGGAAAAGGCGATGTGGTGGTTTGAAGCAGGTTTTGCGTGTCAGATGGTGTTTTGTGACATTGACGCCAGCCCAGATGCCTCCCAAGATCTCCCAACGAATGTGCTTTATTCAAGATTGGGTTAAAGTTTGCCTAAGATGCCAATCTCTTTTGGGGGCTGGCTGAACCAACCTCTAGACTCTACACGAAGAGTTCATCAGACTCAGAATTACTACTGTATATACATGCACTGCATGTGCTTTTGTTCGTCATGCAGTGTTGACGCACGTCCACACGTCCAGCGTCAGCGCTGAATCACTCACCGACCGACAAGGCCACCGTTGAACCCCACCGGTTCAGCCGCCAGTCGAGGATGTACATGGCGCAGGGTGTGAATATCGAGGAGCCAGGGAACCCCATGGTCGGTTATCGGCCGCTGGATGCACATGGAGGGTTGGGAGCCATCAAGTCACTGACTCGGATCGGATTCGACGAAGTGTGTCAAGTGTGTGCGTTTCGCATTTTTTGGTGTTTAAGAGATGTGTTGGTTTTAACTTTGGGCTTTGTCAACCCAGCTCTTCTTGTAGTGTTGAACAAATCCTCCTCAGAAGTGACCCACGAACTGAAAGCCAACGAACCAGAAACTCCTGAAAGCTGGAGGATTATACAAACCAGGGGTTTTAGGTTTTAGCTGAATCTTCGGTGTGATATGTTGATTGGTTTTCGTTAAACACATAATATCACGTATGGTTTTGGGAGGTTCCGGCACAACGAAAAGCAGGCGTTCTTTTTCCGAAAGTCGGTTTGTTCCAACACGGAGCTAAGTAAGCTCACCTGCATGACGACCTGCATGACGGGGTGGTTCAGAGATGTTGGTTTTGCGTTGGGCCTGGACAATTGAATCTTGGATGTTTCCTTCCAAATGCGTTTGCTGCAAAATGGTCAATCATTTGAACGTTTCTTGGGGGGTTCGAACCAGACGTGAACCAGACTCTACCTTTTCATTTAACAGTTAACACACAAGAAAGCGAATCAATCAGATCATATACTGTTTTACTTTGAGCCCTATTCTGCTTCCCACGTTTGAAACACAGTACTAGCATATCAAAACTTCAAGAGTGCCCCAAGAAGATTTCCGATCCGGGATTCGTCGTCCCCAACACCAAATCCAGTGCGAAATCTCGGAGGTGGATGTTCAGACCATCATGTCATGACTCACATGGATCCAACCTTACACGGAGATCTCCTCAAAGTCAAGAGTGCAACATAGTGCAACTATGTTTGTTCAATGAAGGAAGGTCCAGGTGCATATATATATATATTGATATTTTATATGATCATATATGATTTGTTATTTGTTCCTTTACCAGTGGGGCTTGTTAGACTTAGTGTGATGGACCTGGCCCGTTGGGTTCTTCCAAAGAAACACTGTCACTGGCTCGGAGTGGTTCACCTCTCCTTCTTCCACCCTTCAGCTTGCATGTGATTTGGCCGTGCAACAAGTGCTTCACAGCTCACTTTTCTCAACTGTGCTCATTACTGTAAGATACTGTAAGTACAAATCCGGACCTGCTCCAAGCGCCTTTGTGAAACGAAGCTGTTTGGGGTGGGTGCCAGGCTCCAGTCATACCTTTGTTTCGTTTCGGTACGACTTGGAGTCCTAGGGACTCAGAGACTCCGGTGTCCGATTCAGCGACTGATCAGACCTCAGCCCCGGCCCCCAGCTCCAACGAGGCTCACGTATGGCCAGACGGACGTGGCGGAGAAGAATTGGATTCCCTTCACATACAAAGACTCCGTGTACTTTATCTACACGCCATCTCCCCACGTCACTTGAACGCGAGTGGCGTTTCTCGGTCTTTTCTCGTGTTTGCGGTCGACTGCACGGAGGAGTGAACCCCTTGTCTATCCTTCTGCCCACTTTGCTTGGACACTCTGGATAAAAAGCAATGCTCACAGAGGATATTTGAGGATTGGAAAGCGTTTTGTTCTTTGCCAAGTGGTTGCCATAACCGTTTCAGGAGTATCCAAGACTTTGCCTCATGGCACAGTTGACCAGAGTCCAACATATTTTTTGACCTCTGTAGATAAGCCCCTTTGTTCAATTAAAAGAATTGGTGCATTGGGTTGAGGTGACCTTCAGATGAAAGCCACTAAGAGGTAGGAGTCAGAAGTTTGAGCCAATCTTCTGGGTGGTGCTTTCACCATCATCACCCACTACAGTTCTCTTGGCAACACAACCCCAAGATATGTCAAGCCAACAGTGAAATATGTTGGTTTCTTGGTGGTGGTTTCAGATAATTCTATGTTCAACCTTTGCTTTGAATTGGTTGATTGAAGCCACGGACTCATGTTTGTGTGTTTGTGAGTTGAACCCCCCAACCAGTCTTGGACTTGGAGCACTTCACTCTTTAAAACATGAGTTACATCACCCCAAAAAATAGAATATCCAAAAAGACACATCATGACATCCATTGACATCTTCGCACACCCCAGACACCTTTCTGTCCCTCCAACACCCCCTCCTCGCTCGCCGTCCTCGCTCGTGCCGATCCGTGCAGCACGAGGTGATTGTGAGCACGCAGATGGATGGCACCAGCGAGAAGGTCTACAGTACCACCTTCCGGCCGCTTCAGCGCATCACTCAGGAGTCGCCTCACGTGCAGATCCGCGGATCCGCACAGGCGACGGGCCGGCGGTGCGCCCGCAGCAGGGCGATCAAAGAGCGAGCCATCTTGCGAGGAAGATCAAAAGCAGCAGGTTTGAAGAATGACAAGTACCAACAGAGGTGGGTCAGAACCCTAGTTCGGCTATCCCATAAGTAGGTACCCCAGGTTTTCCGGGTCCTATTTACGGTCACTGGATACCTGTGTTACAGGTGAGGGACAGGGGCATCTTGGGACAGGGAAAAACCGAATGTCCGATGCTTTTGAGATCTATATCCCAGACACGACCCGTCTGGGACCTGCCATGTCGGACTGCCGAGTGGCACGGCCAGGGGTGGTTGACTGGGGGGTCAATGTATATAGGCATATATGGCAGTCCCATGTGTCGTGTTTGGGTATAGTGGTATCTGAATCCGAAGATGGCATGGTCCACATGGTCGTTCTTACTCGGCCCAATGGGAACCGGAAGGGTGCATGTGAGCCCATGGGGCCCCCCGCGAGTGGGCAAGCCATTCGCACAGCTGCATGCGTTGTGAATCGTTGAAAGCTATTCTAGTTATAGTGCATTCTAGGACAACAAGAACAATTATACGATATACCTCCTAGTGACCAAGGAGTTAACGGAGATGTGCCAAAATCAACAATTCCTTGTTCATCAGGAAACGGCTGCGCTGGCAGCTTGGTAACAACTCCTTTCTCATCAGCCCAAGGATAGGGAAAATAGCTGAAGTCAATCAGAGCATTCTCGAGCCTGTATCCCCACATGTGCCCGACATTGTTTTTTTTTCCATGTTATTTCCTATGTTTTCTTGCGATGGTAGCGCACTGACAGAGGAGTAGGGAGTACCCGCCTGCTCTTCCCAAGCCATCAGACAGCATAAATCCTAGCTAGTATAGCATGCAGGGTGGCAAAAGCACATGCCCCAAAAAGAACCGTGTATTGGACATCCTGAAACTCTGCATGTGTAAAATCGGTCGAACTTCTGGAATGGTGTCAGTGCTCCTTGCTTCGGCGCAAGGCAGTCTTCGTGAACAACAGCCAAGCGACGCCCAGTTTGGCACGGCTGCTGAGCGCCAGTAGGGGCAGGCAGCGGTGCAGCGGAGGGCAGAACATCTCCAGGCCCATGAGGTTGTTTTTTGAGTTACAGTGATTTCACAGTAGATGGCACAAATCCCACAGATGTCTTTTGGATGGAGGGTCCATATAAACCACCAAACCTGGGGTAACTTGTGCCATCTACTCAGAAACCACTGTAAGAGTTGCTGTTAAATGTTGCTGGTAGACATTGTGATAGATAGACCTCTTTTTGCTGCAGATTTCATGAGTTGGCCCCCTTCTCGGTTGGCCGGCCAAGCAACCCCGAAAGTGAATAAATTACTGAAGATTGGTGCAATGACATGTGTTTTTTTTCATGAACTGGTTTTGTTCCCCAAAGGTCATTTGTCCTTCAAACATTCTCAGACAGTTTACATCATGTGTCCATAGACATCATATATATATATATATACAGGGTTTGCCACAAGGAAAAAAATGACATGGGGACAGTCACAGATGTTGTTTGGACGATCATTGTTGTAAGAACTTCATAGTGTCTTGGTAGCTCCACAATTGACTAGTCGTATGGTCATTCATTCACCAAAAGATGCAACCCGAAGAGCACATGGCCATGTGGTTGGGTCAACACCAGCAGCCTGACCTCCCCAGCTGCTCCCCCTGCAGTTTAAAAAGAATGCCCAGCGAATCAGCCATATACACTCCCAATACTAAGATGTACCCTGAGAATGGCACCCTGAAAGACTGTGTTCCTCTAGCTGCACCAGTGGTTTTCGTGTTCCTCAACTCCATGGGCTCCGCGGCCGTACGAAACACGTGGGCTCCGCTCCACCAAGGCCCCACTACTTGGCGTTGCTCCACCTCTACGACGTCTCCACGGGGCGCTATGCACACCACGCCTATCGCTTTGGAGCGGAGCCACCCTTCATGACGCTCGGCTCTTTGGTGAAGGCGATGGAGAAGGATGGAGAAGCTACTGCCAACAGAGGTATCCAGTGACCGTCAATAGGACCCGTCACCTTTTGGGGTACCCAACTGGGAGAGTCGAACTGGGCCTAGTTGGGGTTCTGACCCACCTTTGTTGGTGGTACCCCCAGACGATTCAGAGAAGGATCTGTGAAGAACATACCGACTTGGGAGAGGGGGAAGAGATGAGAAGAGACCAGACCGGACCCAAAAACACTAGCCTTGTTTCAGTCCGGCTGCAGTCCAGGAACATCTAAGACAAAACCTTTGCACGGGATTTCCTAAGACATGAGCGTACAGCATCTTTCAGCAAAAGATAAGACCATGGAGCGCATTCATCCATGTTTAACGCGTTCAGGGAAATAAAATGTCTCACCTGGTCCAAGGCCAATACGGTAAAAGTAGCGTTTGTCATTTGTGGGAGGGTGGAACCCGAGCCTCAACACCATGTAGCTTGACCTTCCCGGTAGGTATCCTGACCAACAGCCACATGCCTGACGAAGTGCGTGCTGACTGAGGGTGAAGCTCAGTCCCTTAGAGACTCCGTGGGGTTCGGATCGCATTCACGGGCCTGAGGGAGAAGGTGATAGCTGGACCGAGCATTTACTTTTGTTTACACCTGGACCAATCACCGTACCTGAGAAGATACCACTGGATCCCTGTAGGGGACAGACCCGACTCCACCTTCTTTGTCTGGGAGATCCGTTTGACTCAGGATGCTCCAAATGTCCTCCGCGCTCCCCCTGACCGAAGCCGCCAGCCGGCCCGGTGGCACTCCCTTCGCCTTTGCGAGCGGGTTGGCGGTGCAGGGGAACACGGTGGTGATCAGCCACCGGGACCAGGTTTGCTTCGGGCATGGGTGCTGAAACGGTGGAAGAAGTCGAAGGACTTTGTTTTCTTTTGGTTATATTTCAACATCAGACTCGCCCTCCTTCCTCTTACAACCCACCTTTTGGGTGGGTCTGGTGAATCAAGAGCAAGAAGCCGTGTGGAACCCTTTGAACATGTTTGACCCGACACCGAGAACGCAGGGGCCGCAGGGGGTCATTATTTGTTGACTCCAAACAACTTGTCCAGTTCCTTTGGTCCGTTCTGGGGGAAGCGAGCTACACTGTCCCCCAGACCGCTCTACGAAGAGGGAGTGCCATCCACTCCGATCCATGTGGGTTTGTGGTTTGGGGAGTGGAGCGCAGGGTTAAGCCCTTGTCACCGCTATTGTCAATGTGGGAATTTGCTGCGCGGATTTCTGGCAACTTCAGGACCAGCGCAGAACGGGACACAGATCCAGTTCGATCTCTTCGTGTGAGAAATTCCTCTCTCATCCTCTTCAAAGCACTGGAACGAACAGATACATCTTGATTGATATCGGGGAGAGCATAGCTTATATAAATAGCTCATATGTATATCTCATGTATTATAAGTATCAGTAATACTTATTTTAAGCCTTCCCCAAGAATCCGGGCCCGAAGCCATGCATTGGTTCGGAAGTTCGAGTCCGGACCCCTGCCATGGAGGGTTCAAGGGATACTTATAGAAACCCTGATAGGGTTGATCGTTCAGGTCCCTATATGTCCGGTATTTCCCGTGTTCAAGCGAGCTAGGAATTGTTTGGACTGGGTTTAAATGACAATTCGTCGGCTAGTCGTTGGGCTTCACAAAGCTTCCTGACAGCGTGGGAGTTCTCCAACCTTCGAAGTTTGTACTGTAACCGGCCTTGAGCCACATTGTTTTGTATGTACACATCCCATACGCTCCATGTATGCTATGGCCTACATGACTAGTGGTTTATGATGGTGAATGTAGGCCATATTGGCGCCACCATGGAGCGCTTGGCTATAACTTGTTTGGGCAGTGAGACCAGGGGCAATCTTCGAGACGGCCCACCCGGATCTTGATTGTTCCGGGTCTACAGGTTTTGACCACGCGCTAGGCGTAGCCGACCACACCCTCGATCAACTGAGAACATCTTCTGAGTGGTGTTTTCAGAGATGCTGATGTGTTTTTTTTCAACCTTTCAATGATTGAACCCACTGACTCCTATTTTTTGTTCATGAGTTGAAACCACCAACCAGTCCTCCAGAAAGAAGTTGGCAGCTTCGCTTTTGCTTGGAGCTCACATGTCGAGTTGCTGGAGATCCGCTTGAGATTCTGGCCGACTCTGGTGTTGTTTTGTGCTGATCAGATCCAACTATTTGCAGTCCACTTTCCGGACAAATGGACACAAATGGCCATGACCGGATATCAAGAAGCCACTAGTTAAGGCACCTCTAGCCTTTACGTGTTTCCTTCTTCCATTAAGTGCAAGTGTTTGCTTCCAAGACCGGTTCCCATCTCAGACCCGGGTTACCCGGCCTCCCCCAGAACCTGGTCCCATCAGAGACCGCAGACCAGGTTATGGCGCCGGAGATCGGGATGCCCGGGCACTGGTGATGACCTTGGACAAGTTGGATGCCACCTGGCCTCCGAAACGTCCCGATGGCCGCGGTGAACGGAGGTAAGTCTACGCCATACGCGGTGAACGGGGCGGGCGACGTGTGAGTAGCGAAGGGACCAGCGTCTTCCAGCGGAACGGAAAGCAGCTTGGACTTCTGGAGTTGGTGCATGGATGTCCTGCTTTGTTTTAGACTCCAAAAGGATCCAAGTGAGGTATTCCCCGCCTGGCAGTATGACACTCTGACGAACACATCGCATGCAAGTGGATGGCATGGTCGCTTGGAAGACTACTTTCCTCTACAAACAGTGGGTTTTCCACTTCCGGAGTGTACCCTGCAAACTTGCGCCACATAGATTTTGCACGTCGGTCATGCAGGGCGGGAATGGTTGCTCCCCTTCCCACTTGGGTGAGAAGAGATTGAATTTGCCACAGTGACAGGACTCGATCAGTGCCATTCACTTAACTCCACGGCAGCAGATTTGCTCAGATCAACGACCCACACAATCCATTGAATACCAACAGACCCTGCCATCACCGCCAGCACCCTGTTCGCCCAGGATTTGTTCCAATGCTCATCTTACGCAGATGCCTGAAGATGATCAGATGTACAGAGTGCAAAAACTTATTGGCCGGTGAAGAAGGTCATTTCATCACTAGATTGCTTTGTCAAGACATCGCATGTACGCGGAGGAGGACCAAGCTAGAGGGTCCTGCTTCTGCGCATTTTCCGAGGCTTTTTGAGCCAAGCTGCAGTGGTCCACTTGTCAGTGTGTCCTGCGCCGGCGCCTTGGTGGCGCCCCCCAAGGGGACCCGCCTCCGGAGCGTCCTGTTTGTGTGTCTTTTTCTCGCAGTTTTGGTCGTTCGTTGTGCCGCACGCCACGGCAGTAGCTGGTCGAGGGGTGTCCCAAAGAGGCCTCGCTGCATGGCAGCTGCCATGGGCACCCCTCCTGCCGGCGAGCACAGTACTCCGGCTCGACTGCGTCGGACTGGGGTACACTATAGTAGATGTGGTAGTGGTAGGTCTGGACTGTCTGGTGTTTTTGTTTTTTGGTGACTGTCAATTAAATTCACATGGCATGTACGAATATGTATATATATATAT